AAGCGCCAGAGGCTGCTGTGCTACAAGCAACGTGCTAGTTGGAGCATTCAAGGTATGGCGTGAGTGTGACAATCTTTTGAAGAGAACATTTTAGGCCAGTGTTTCCCAACGCTTTTTCTTGTTGAACTGCCACTCTGTTGGCTCTTCTTTAATGTTGCACATCTTTTTGTTTTTCATGTATTTCAGGGGTTGGACCAGCTGACGGCAATGACAAAGCTGGCCTCGCAGTTTGATGAGTGGGGGCAGTCTACCCCTGGCTTAGCCAGCTGGCAGCAATCGCACTGACTATACCAGTGTCTTCTGTTAAATGTGAGAGGGACTTCTCTGCAATGAAATTAGTAAGAACATTTAAATGTGAAAGTAGATCCTCTTTGTCCCTCTCCCTTCTCTTATTATTATCTATGTTATTGCAGGTCAAAACAGACTTGAGGAACAGACTGCAGGGAGAGCATCTAGCCACCTGCATGCAGCTCTTCATCAAGGTCCCCCCCCCCCCCCCCCCCCCCCATCAAGGAGCTCAATTACAGAAGGGCGCTGGAAATCTTTTTCCAAAAGCCCAGAAGAATAAAGTGCTCTGACAAAGGTTGTAAACAATGTCAGAACTAGGTTTTTGTCAGAACCTGGAAAGAGATTTCCAATGCCCTCCTTTTTGATTAACATGAATTAGTGGGCTCTAATTCATGTTCAGTCAAATGTTCCTCTGTTAATTTTGTCAAGATAAACTTTTTTTTATTTCAGAAAGAAGGTTTCTGTTTTGTTTCTTTAGATAGCTGCAGCACTCAACCTTACATTTCATCCTGTATGCTATAATAATTTTACCAATATATTCTCCCGAGTGGCGCAGTGGTCTAAGGCACTGCATCGCAGTGCTAGCTGTGCCACTAGAGATCCTGGTTTGAATCCAGGCTCTGTCGTAGCCGGCCGCGACCGGGAGACCCATGGGGCGGCGCACAATTGGCCCAGCGTCGTCCAGGGTAGGGGAGGGAATGGCCGGCAGGGGATGTAGCTCAGTTGGTAGAGCATGGCGTTTGCAACGCCAGGGTTGTGGGTTCGATAAAATAATGTATGTGCTAACTGTAAGTCGCTCTGGATAAGAGCGTCTGCTAAATGACTAAAATGTAAATGTAATTATTGAGCTCATTTCTGGGGGTGGAAATTATATTTTAAATGGTGTCTTTGAGTTTTTTCCTTTTAAAAAGACACCAGAACCAAGCTTTTCAGTACTTATACTTATTTAGTTTTTTTGGGGGAGGAATTATTGTTTGGATAACCTTATTTACTATTATAAAAATGTATGCACTCACTAAACTGTAAGTCGCTCTGGATAAGAGCGTCTGCTAAATGACTTAAATGTAAATGTATTGATTTTTATCTTAAATCTTTTCACTCTTCATGCGATGCGCACTGCAGAGAACACCGGAAGAAGAATTATCTTTGAATTATCACAGTGAATTATTGTCATGTTTGTTTATGTGTCAATTAATCCCATAAGGGATGGGTTGCCAACGGGGGATTTGACACAAAAATTAAATTTCATTCATTCAGGTTCCTGTATAGTCTTGTACAGTAGTGAGTTTTTAATCAGAGTTTTGCCATTGCCTGGGCCCTGGGGGCTAGTATGACTTCATAGTCAAATGTCTCAGAACAAGACTGGCTTTTCAGGTTCTACTTTGCTGCTGAACTGTTTGCTCTTGTCTTCTTCTGAGTGGCAGGTGTGAGACTTTGTCTGAACATGCTGTCCAGAGTACCTTTCCGGAGTTATCTCTTTCACACACACACACACACACACACACCTTCAGATTGGACTTTAATTCTTGGACGTGAGTCAGTGCAATAACGTTTGTAAAGGGCTGTTTTTATTGTTCTTCCTGCTTGGAGGATGTAAACACAGCTAGAATAGTACTGGATTAGTTTTCTTTCAAATACTTTAGCTACATTAGACTGGCAGAATGGAACCAATACTACTTGAACCCAAGTCTGATCAAAAGCTCATGTCACCATGGGCGTGTGTCAGTTAGTAGGAATAATAACATAGAGTGAATATCGTGACAGGTGTGATCCACTTTTTTAAAAGCATGTTGAATCATGTCATGACGGGTGTGGGTTTAACGTCAAGCCACTTTTCTAAATGCAGGAGGTGGGTAACATGTTTCATCATGTTGAACAGAACAGAACAGACCACAGAAGAGGCCATTTTAGGAGCACAGAGGAAGTTGTTCTTTTTGGGGTTGTTAATTTAGTAGCCACTAGCCAGTTGTTTACATTGAACAACTTTAAAACGTTTTCAGGTTTAATTTGCCTCCCCCCGAGCATCCTGGCAACAGAACATTATGACTGAGAAGGCCGTGTTTTGGGGTTGCCCCTCTGCCCCCGACCGACCGACCCAAATCGCTGACTGGTACAATCCCCAGCTGATTAACGAAGGGCCCGATCTCTCCAAATCAATGAATCAGATGAATGATGTATGCCCTGCGGAGTCTGGCTCTGGGCCAGGCCAGGGGAGGAAATGGCCTGTGGTTTCACATGGGGATTTCCATTCCTTTCATATTTGTGTGTGCTTATCAAAAGTGATTGATATGAATGAATGGGAGGCAGATTGAGGGGATGCAGATATGGTGTAGTATAAGCTATAGAAGAACGGTGGGACTGGGATTTGATACTATGATGTAGGCCTAGGCAACCAACCAGCTGCTGAGGCAGGCTGCTTTAACCAGACAACCAGCTGCTGAGGCAGGCTGCTTTAACCACACAACCAGCTGCTGAGGCATGCTGCTTTAACCAGACAAACAGCTGCTGAGGCAGGCTGCTTTAACCAGACAACCAGCTGCTGAGGCAGGCTGCTTTAACCAGACAACCAGCTGCTGAGGCAGGCTGCTTTAACCAGACAAACAGCTGCTGAGGCAGGCTGCTTTAACCAGACAACCAGCTGCTGAGGCAGGCTGCTTTAACCAGACAACCAGCTGCTGAGGCAGGCTGCTTTAACCAGACAACCAGCTGCTGAGGCAGGCTGCTTTAACCAGACAACCAGCTGCTGAGGCAGGCTGCTTTAACCAGACAACCAGCTGCTGAGGCAGGCTGCTTTAACCAGACAACCAGCTGCTGAGGCAGGCTGCTTTAACCAGACAAACCAACTCCAGGTGCCAAGAATCTTATCTCTTGATGTCCGTTCCAGTTGATAGCTCTGTCAGGCAGAGAGCAGGGAGTAGGGATCAGGGAGTAGGGAGTAGGGATCAGGGAGTAGGGACTAGGGAGTAGGGACCAGAGAGTAGGGAGTAGGGACCAGGGACTAGGGACTAGGGACCAGAGAGTAGGAACCAGGGACCAGAGAGTAGGGACCAGAGAGTAGGGACCAGAGAGTAGGGACCAGGGACCAGAGAGTAGGGACCAGGGACCAGAGAGTAGGGACCAGAGAGTAGGGACCAGGGACCAGAGAGTAGGGACCAGAGAGTAGGGAGTAGGGACCAGAGAGTAGGGAGTAGAGAGTAGGGACCAGTGAGTAGGGAGTAGGGACCAGAGAGTAGGGACCAAACAACCAGAGGAGGAGGAGAGGAGGATGGGAGAAGGAGAGGAGAGGAGGAGGAGGAGAGGAGGCAGGCTGCTTTAACCAGACAACCAGCTGCTGAGGCAGGCTGCTTTAACCACACAATCAACTCCAGGTGCCAAGAATCTTATCTCTTGATGTCCGTTCCAGTTGATAGCTCCGTCAGGCAGAGAGCAGGGAGTAGGGAGTAGGGATCAGGGAGTAGGGACTAGGGTGTAGGGACTAGGGAGTAGGGTCCAGAGAGTAGGGAGTAGGGTCCAGAGAGTAGGGAGTAGGGTCCAGAGAGTAGGGAGTAGGGTCCAGAGAGTAAGGAGTAGGGTCCAGAGAGTAAGGAGTAGGGTCCAGAGAGTAGGGAGTAGGGTCCAGAGAGTAGGGAGTAGGGACCAGAGAGTAGGGACCAGAGAGTAGGGACTATGGACCAGGGACCAGAGAGTAGGGACCAGGGACCAGAGAGTAGGGACCAGGGACCAGAGAGTAGGGACCAGGGACCAGAGAGTAGGGACCAGGGACCAGAGAGTAGGGACCAGGGACCAGAGAGTAGGGACCAGGGACCAGAGACCAGAGAGTAGGGATCAGGGACCAGAGAGTAGGGACCGGAGAGTAGGGAGTAGGGACCGGAGAGTAGGGAGTAGGGACCAGAGAGTAGGGAGTAGGGACCAGAGAGTAGGGAGTAGGGACCAGAGAGTAGGGAGTAGGGACCAGAGAGTAGGGAGTAGGGACCAGGGAGTAGGGACCAGAGAGTAGAGAATAGTGACCAGAGAGTAGGGAGTAGTGACCAGGGACCAGGGACAAGGGAGTAGGGAGTAGGGACCAGCGAGTAGGGACCAGGGACCAGGGACAAGGGAGTAGGGACAAGGGAGTAGGGACCAGGGTCCAGGGACCAGGGAGTAGTGACCAGGGTCCAGGGTCCAGGGACCAGGGAGTAGTGACCAGGGTCCAGGGACCAGGGAGTAGTGACCAGGGTCCAGGGAGTAGGGACCAGGGTCCAGGGAGTAGGGACCAGGGTCCTGGGTCCAGGGACCAGGGAGTAGCAGTGTGGATTTGGCCAGATAATGGTAATGGAGGAGGAATGCACCAGTCTCCCCATGCTGTCTGTTCATGTCCGGATAGCGGATTGGCCTTTTCTTTTTAGGCTGATTGAGTGAATACCTTTTTGTGTCAATCCCAAAAAATATCAACAGCAAAGACCGTTGTCTGAAAATGATCAAACACCTTTTATGTGTGGTCCTCTGTAGCTCAGCTGGTAGAGCACGGCGCTTGTAACGCCAAGGTAGTGGGTTCGATCCCCGGGACCACCCATACACAAAAAAAAAAAAAAAAAAAAATGTATGCACGCATGACTGTAAGTCGCTTAGGATAAAAGCGTCTGCTAAATGGCATATTATATTATTATTATTATTATGTGATCCTGTTGAAAAAGGAAATCTATAAATCTGTTTTCTTCAGCTCTATTCTGTATCCAATGTTTAATGCTTTGTGTGTTATAACCATGGTATTCACTGTTATATCCATGTTATTCTCTGTTATTGCTATGTTATGCATCCACAATGTCTTTAAAGCTTTTATGACTCAAACATGTCTCTCTTGTCTGTTTTTGTCTTTTTTGACAGCAGAAAATGAATGACACATTCCCCCTAACCAGGAAGAAGAAGTGAATGAGTGGGGAGATCGTTGGAGAGGAGGAGAGGAGAGAAGAGAAGAAGAAGAGGGGGAGAGAGAGAGAGAGAGAGAGAGAGAGAGAGAGAGAGAGAGAGAGACTCTGAAGAGGGTATAAACTAAAGGAGTGACAGGAGAGGTCTAAACTAAAGGAGTGACAGGAGAGGACACTTATTGCAGACACCATGTCTGTCTCCACCACCAAGCAGGAGAGAACCGTGTGTGTTCTGCTTCCCAATAAAGAACAGCTGGACATCACTGTGGGGGTAAGCAATTCCCATTATGATTCCTTCTGTTGATTCTATATCCCATGAGTCAGCCAGGGGGGTTTCAATGGACGGCTTTTCAATGGAAGGTTTTAGTCCTGTAGCAAGAGTATTTCTAGTCCCGTACTATAAACTATAAGTTGTATGTGAGATCAATGTTTAGGGAGATCAGTTCTCTTTTTCTGTGTTTTTCTGTCAATCACCCTGTTTATAGCAGTCACCCTGTTACAATCACCCTGTTTATAGCAGTCACCCTGTTACAATCACCCTGTTTATAGCAGTCACCCTGTTACAATCACCCTGTTTATAGCAGTCACCCTGTTACAATCACCCTGTTTATAGCAGTCACCCTGTTACAATCACCCTGTTTATAGCAGTCACCCTGTTACAATCACCCTGTTTATAGCAGTCACCCTATTACAATCACCCTGTTTATAGCAGTCACCCTGTTACAATCACCCTGTTTATACCAGTCCTCCTGTTACAATCACCCTGTTTATAACAGTCTTCTCTCTCTCCTCTCTCCCTCTCAGGTCAAGTCCTCAGGGCAGGATGTGTTCAATCAGGTGTCTGAGCTCCTTGGAATAAAAGAGCTGCACTTCTTCGGCCTTACAGTGGTGAAGGGTAAATTCTACTGTCTACCCAGGCCAAAACCAGCCCTAACCCAGGACCCATATTCATAAAGTGTCTCATAGTAGGAGTGATGATCTGAGATCAGTTTAGCATTATAGATCTTAGTAAGTTAGGTTACATAGACAGGGGGGGACCTGATCCTAGATCAGCACTCCTACTCCGAGAAGCTTTATGAATGTGGACCCAGGCCTCTGAGACCTACCCTAACCCACCCCTTACCTTGCCAACCCTCCCACACATCCACCCCAGAGTCTTTGAACCTGAAATAAATGTTTCTAGCGCGTTAGATAACAAACATTCAGAGGATCACAATGTATTCTGATTACACAGTTACAGTAGGCTTCAACGAGCTGATGTCATGCTCACTGTATTCCTAATGCAGTATGTACACACACACACATACTGTATCACACACACACACACACACACACACACACACACACTACACTATAGCAGACACACACACTACACAGTCACAATCACCCCAGTCACAATCACCCCAGTAACAATCACCCCAGTAACAAACACCCCAGTCCTCGAGGTCCTTCTACTAGGATTCTGTTTACATAATAGAACTGAACTGGGTTAGTTGCCAAAAACGGGGTAACGGCACAATACGATCAGAAGGGAAGGTTTTTAGTTGTGTGTTTCTGCATTACTAAGACTGAGGTGTCTAATCTTCTGGAACCTTTGGACAAACTCAATTCAAATGTTTTGTCAGTCTCTTTCTCACTCTCCTTCCTGTTCTCTCTCTTTCTCTCTTGGTTCTGCCATGTTGAAATGCCTTGATAATCTTGTGTGGCTCACCTCTTGAACAAGAGCTCTTTTGTTTTTGTGTGAGTGCCTGCGGCCGTGTGTAGTGTGTGGGGGCCAGCCACCTCTCTGGTCTGGGTCTGCCCACGATTCCAACAATATTAACTTCATTAAGCCAGGAATGTGCCCCTGCATTCCACCTCTTCACTGGAGGGAGGGAGGGATGGAGGGATCCATGTAGGGATGGATGGAGAGAGGGAGGGAGGTAAAGGGAGGATAAGAGCGGTTGAAGAAGAAGAGGTAGGGGGGGAGGAGAGGTGACAAGCTTAGGGAGTCTCGTTAAAACAAAACGAGTGAAAGGGAGGAGGAGAGAAGAGTTGAAAGAAACTGAGTCAGAGAATGAGAAAGGGATTTTAATGAAAAGAGAGATGGATGGAGGAGTGTGTTGTGAGTGAGTCATGTGGTGTGGTCAGAAAGGGATGAGCCCGAATAAAATACTTATGGTAGAAAATAAACGGGATTAATGGATAGGAAGAAGGGGAGAGAAGGAGCAGTTAGAGCAGTAATAAAACCAGGAAATGTAGGACAGGGGTGTACCAGAGACAGGACGTTTACAAACCCCAGTGGAAATTTTTGAGAGAGGGGCTACGAGACTGGAGTTAACTCGGCCATTGGAAACATTATGTTTGGCAGCAGGGTTCCAGCAGTAAATGACTGTTAATCCTGTGTGGCATGTTAGTTGGAGCGGGGTGTACCAGATCGACGATTACAACCCCAGTGGAACTGTTAGGTTGGAGCAGGGGGTACCAGTAGCAGGAGTTCAAACCAGGGACTGTTGGTGGAGCGGGGCAAGTGGGACGTAAAACCAGTGAAGAGGGAAGGGGACAGAGACAGGAGTCAACCCAGTGGAACATGTTAGGTTGGAGAGGGGCGAGCCAGAGCAGGATGGTTCCCCGAGTGAACATGTAGGTGAGGGGGCGTACAGAGACAGGACGTTACACCCTAGTGAACATGTTAGGTGGAGCAGGGGGTACCAGAGACAGGATGTAAAACGTGGAAATGTAGGTGGAGAAAGGGGGTACCAAAGAAGGAGTTACAACCAGTGGAACATGTTAGGTTGGAGCAGGGGCGTACCAGAGAAGGACGTTACAAACCCCAGTGGAACATGTTAGGTTGGAGCAGGGGCGTACAGAGACAGGACGTTACAAACCCCAGTGGAACATGTTAGGTTGGAGCAGGGGCGTACCAGAGACAGGACGTTACAAACCCCAGTGGAACATGTTAGGTTGGAGCAGGGGCGTACCAGAGACAGGACGTTACAAACCCCAGTGGAAATGTTAGGTTGGAGCAGGGGCGTACCAGAGACAGGACGTTACAAACCCCAGTGGAACATGTTAGGTTGGAGCAGGGGGTACCAGAGACAGGACGTTACAAACCCCAGTGGAACATGTTAGGTTGGAGCAGGGGCGTACCAGAGACAGGACGTTACAAACCCCAGTGGAACATGTTAGGTTGGAGCAGGGGTGTACCAGAGACAGGACGTTACAAACCCCAGTGGAACATGTTAGGTTGGAGCAGGGGCGTACCAGAGACAGGAGTTACAAACCCCAGTGGAACATGTTAGGTTGGAGCAGGGGCGTACCAGAGACAGGACGTTACAAACCCCAGTGGAACATGTTAGGTTGGAGCAGGGGCGTACCAGAGACAGGACGTTACAAACCCCAGTGGAACATGTTAGGTTGGAGCAGGGGTGTACCAGAGACAGGACGTTACAAACCCCAGTGGAACATGTTAGGTTGGAGCAGGGGCGTACCAGAGACAGGACGTTACAAACCCCAGTGGAACATGTTAGGTTGGAGCAGGGGCGTACCAGAGACAGGACGTTACAAACCCCAGTGGAACATGTTAGGTTGGAGCAGGGGCGTACCAGAGACAGGACGTTACAAACCCCAGTGGAACATGTTAGGTTGGAGCAGGGGCGTACCAGAGACAGGACGTTACAAACCCCAGTGGAACATGTTAGGTTGGAGCAGGGGCGTACCAGAGACAGGACGTTTACAAACCCCAGTGGAACATGTTAGGTTGGAGCAGGGGCGTACCAAGAGACAGGACGTTACAAACCCCAGTGGAACATGTTAGGTTGGAGCAGGGGCGTACCAGAGACAGGACGTTACAAACCCCAGTGGAACATGTTAGGTTGGAGCAGGGGTGTACCAGAGACAGGACGTTACAAACCCCAGTGGAACATGTTAGGTTGGAGCAGGGGTTTACCAGAGACAGTACAGTTACAACCCCAGTTGAACAGTTAGGTTGGAGCAGGGGTACCAGAGACAGGACGTTACAAACCCCAGTGGAACATGTTAGGTTGGAGCAGGGGCGTACCAGAGACAGGATGTTACAAACCCCCAGTGGAACATGTTAGGTTGGAGCAGGGGCGTACCAGAGACAGGATGTTACAAACCCCCAGTGGAACATGTTAGGTTGGAGCAGGGGCGTACCAGAGACAGGATGTTACAAACCCCAGTGGAACATGTTAGGTTGGAGCAGGGGTGTACCAGAGACAGGATGTTACAAACCCCAGTGGAACATGTTAGGTTGGAGCAGGGGCGTACCAGAGACAGGACGTTACAAACCCCAGTGGAACATGTTAGGTTGGAGCAGGGGTGTACCAGAGACAGGACGTTACAAACCCCAGTGGAACATGTTAGGTTGGAGCAGGGGTGTACCAGAGACAGGACGTTACAAACCCCAGTGGAACATGTTAGGTTGGAGCAGGGGTGTACCAGAGACAGGACGTTACAAACCCCAGTGGAACATGTTAGGTTGGAGCAGGGGTGTACCAGAGACAGGACGTTACAAACCCCAGTGGAACATGTTAGGTTGGAGCAGGGGCGTACCAGAGACAGGATGTTACAAACCCCAGTGGAACATGTTAGGTTGGAGCAGGGGCGTACCAGAGACAGGATGTTACAAACCCCAGTGGAACATGTTAGGTTGGAGCAGGGGCGTACCAGAGACAGGACGTTACAAACCCCAGTGGAACATGTTAGGTTGGAGCAGGGGCGTACCAGAGACAGGACGTTACAAACCCCAGTGGAACATGTTAGGTTGGAGCAGGGGCGTACCAGAGACAGGACGTTACAAACCCCAGTGGAACATGTTAGGTTGGAGCAGGGGCGTACCAGAGACAGGACGTTACAAACCCCAGTGGAACATGTTAGGTTGGAGCAGGGGCGTACCAGAGACAGGACGTTACAAACCCCAGTGGAACATGTTAGGTTGGAGCAGGGGCGTACCAGAGACAGGACGTTACAAACCCCAGTGGAACATGTTAGGTTGGAGCAGGGGCGTACCAGAGACAGGACGTTACAAACCCCAGTGGATATTTGACTGGTAATTTGTATCTAACACATTGATACAGCACCCCTTATCACTTTCCTCACAGCTGCAACCATCTTATCAGCCCCACTGTTGAAAGAAAACACATTGAGATGATTTGTGATGATAGAAGATGAACTTCATTTAGTTTAATCTGTAATCCTTGAGAACAAAGACCTATTAGAATGAGGATTAAACACACACAATGATTCGTTATTAACACTTCATTTGAAGGGTATGTAAATAAGCACTTCATAACACATTCGTAAAGCATACATAACACATTCATAAGAAGTACATAAGCGTTTCATAAATGTACTTGGTTTTTGTAGTCTGGTTTACTCTGCAGGCCTAGCCAGCCAACAGTCAATACTGTTACTTTCTTCCTGAGCTGGTATGCTATGCTAGCAGAGCCTATAAGCAAACAGGCGTATTAGCATTAGCATAGCTGTCAACACAACAGTTGTGCCGTTTGCCTGCTGGTTGCTTTGACCACACCAATGGAAGAACAAGTGTTTTTGTCTTTCATTCTTTTCTCTAATTAATGTCATTGTTAGGTAGATTTTACGCATTCATTCATTATTCTTTTGTTTGGTGACTGAGGGTGTCATGTTTCCTGTTTTACCTCAGACAATGAGCACATCTTTCTGGACATGGAAGATAAGCTGACCAAGTATTTCCCTAAGGAATGGAAGCAAGATTCAGGGAAGGTAAGAGTGCTACAATAATCTACTTATTGATGTATTATAGCATGGCATGAATCAGAACACACACACACCTCCCACGTTAACCAAGCAGCTCACTGCAGCCCACTGCCCTACATAGTATCTAGCTGGGTATTGTTCTTAACATGACAACTAGTGCATACCATGCCTTTACATTGCATTACCAGGCCCGTTCATTCACCCATGGTTGTGTTGTGTCCCAACTTGATAGTATGATAAAGATGTCCAGCACTTGCATCACTGTGTTGTGTTTCACCATGGTTGTGTTGTTTCACCATGGTTGTGTTGTTTCATCATGGTTGTGTTTCATCATGGTTGTGTTGTGTTTCACCATGGTTGTGTTGTTTCATCATGGTTGTGTTTCATCATGGTTGTGTTGTGTTTCACCATGGTTGTGTTGTTTCATCATGGTTGCGTTTCATCATGGTTGTGTTGTGTTTCATCATGGTTGTGTTTCATCATGGTTGTGTTGTTTCATCATGGTTGTGTTGTTTCATCATGGTTGTGTTGTGTTTTCACTATGGTTGTGTTTCACGATGGTTGTGTTGTGTTTCACGATGGTTGTGTTGTGTTTCACGATGGTTGTGTTGTGTTTCATCATGGTTGTGTTTCACCATGGTTGTGTTGTGTTTCACGATGGTTGTGTTGTGTTTCATCATGGTTGTGTTGTGTTTCACTATGGTTGTGTTGTGTTTCACTATGGTTGTGTTGTGTTTCACTATGGTTGTGTTGTGATCTTTCCTCAGGGGTTACAGAAGAGATCCCTCCCCCTGGTGCTCTGCCTCAAGGTGCAGTACTATGTGGAGAATGGCAGGCTCATCTGGTGAGGCTCCAAACATGATTATTTCCTAATACTCTAAACATACCATCATCCTTCAGACACATTGCTGGAACTGAACAACAATGCACTCGAGGTCTCCCTCCAAAAATAGGTTTTTAATCTCAATGGATTTAATATACCCAGCTCTGTATCTCAATAACTCTCTTTACCTCCTACAACTCCTTTGTTATTAAATCTAGTGACCGTTCTCTACCTCTCCCCCAGTGAGCGGAAGGCGAGGCGTCTGTACTACTCTGACCTGAGAGAGAGGGTGCTGCGTTCTGAGTGTCGTCAGCAGGAGGAGGTGTACTTACTTTCTTTCAAACATTTTATTTGAGATTTCTTCATCGTATGACAATCGCAAACATTCAAACATACAATAACATAATGAAATCCCATTTTCCAGGTGTACTTCCAGCTGGCTGGGTATGCCTTACAAGCTGACCTGGAAGACCACCCCCTACCTGGGCAGAACCAGGGAGGCACCCCCACCCCCTACTTCCAACCCAAAGAGTACTTCCCTCCCTGGGTAAGTGTGAGAGTGCGTGGGGCCTGGGGAAGTCTACGTGTTGAGATACTGTACATGTTCTTACATGTGGCCACTGCCATTCTCAGTAAATGGTTCTACAGCGATATTATCTGAATGTGGTCTCTCTCTCTCTCCTCTCTCTCTCTCTCTCTCTCTCTCTCTCTCTCTCCCCCCCCCCTCTCTCTCTCTCTCTCTCTCTCTCTCTCTCCCCCCCCTCTCTCTCTTTGCAAATGCTTCTGTAAATGGTTTTACAGCAGGGGTCTCCAACAGGTAGATTGCAGTTGTGTAAAGTAACTAAGAAAAAATACTTCACACTTATCTTCGGCCTATAGAAGGTAGAGGGTTCGAGACCTGCTCCTTGCCTGTTCCATTACAGTACATTTAAAACCAAATACTTTTACTCAAGTAGTATTTTACTGGGTGACTCACTTTTACTTGAGTCATTTTCTATTAAGGTATCTTTACTTTTACTCAAGTATGACGATTGGGTACTTTTTCCACCGCTGATCGCGAGCTGGCAGTAGCTTGCAGCCCACCTATGAGTAGCTCGCCAATCAATTCTTAAAGTACTTGCATGTTTTCACGTGTTCCATGCAAACTGTCATAAACATAAAGCTCCTGGTTACTATCCAATCAAAGCCACATTGACATTATCCCCTCCCTGGTTAGCCACTATTGGTTTGAAAAGCCAAACGTAACACAATACCTGCCAATTAATTTCCAGCAATATTGCCCGTCTGTCTGTTTGGTGCACGCGTTTGTCTATCACTCAGTATGTAGCCAGTTAGCGACGCTAACGATAACCGTCTTGTGGGTGGAAGGCAGAAATACTTTCCCCAAAAACCTTCTCAATTAAATGTTAACTGCAAAGTAGGCTTACCTGACAGATCTATATCATGATTATTTGTATGAATTGGGTGGCCATTGTTTTGCTAACTGTGCCATGGGGTGTGCTGTAGCAGTAGTCCTAACAGCAGCAACATGGCTACACTGACACATTCCTCTCTCGCTAGATGCACAATTAAAGGGGAAATACACACACAAATCTACATTTGTTAGTATTTTTTTTCTGATCTAAAAAAAAATGGTCTTCGGATGTGATTTAAGCATTGACATGGACTCAGAGCATTTTTGTTGTTTGTCGTTGTTTGTCTCACAAAACCAGGACAAATAAAACGGGAGAAAACAGAATTCCAGAAAATACTAAAAAATAATTTGATGGACCATTATTTTACAAGGTATATTGGCAGAAAACACATCACTTGTACATCACAGACCCGCGGAAGAGTTGCAGGGTAGAAGAGAGGAGAACAATGTGCCTATTTGAAAGCTATAAAAAATGAAGAGTAGCTCTCACGTTAGAAAAGGTTGTAGACCCCTGTTCTACAGTAATATTGACCCAATGTGTTTTCTCACTCTGTCTCCATCTTCAGATTGTGGCGAAGCGTGGGGTGGACTACCTGCTCTGTCACGGTCCCAAGGTACACAAGGAGCTGTGGGGCATGACGTCACGTGATGCGATACTCCACTTCATCAAAGAGGCCTGTCGTCTCGAGGACGTCCCCGTCACCTTCTACAGGCTACAGAAGGTCAGTCAGAGGTCTCATAGCAGAGTGAAGCAATCATTCAAATGTCTTAAGACCCCAAAGACCAAACAGAGACAGGAGATCAGTGGCAGGAAAACTTCCCTAAAAAGAAGATACCTAGAGAGCAACCAGACTCAGAAGCTCAGAACACGTTGAAATTCCATTAGACGTCTAAACAGAGATATGGAGTTCCAACGTGTAGGGTACAGAGCCATAGCAGACATTAGACGTCTAACAGAGATATTTGCATTGATGTTTGAATTGTCACTCTTAAACGAATGTATCCAGTTTAAATAAGGTGTGTGGGGTGGGGGGGCTGCTGTATTAGGTAACACAGAATGTTACAGTATATTCGTCTACGTTCTCCGTCTCCACTCTACTCTGAGCCAAGCCCAATGTCTGGACCCAAATGGTACCCTATTCCCTGTATAGTGCACTACTTTTGACCTGAACTACATGCGCCCTGGTCAAAAGTAGGGCACTAAATAGGGAATAGGGTGCCATTTGGGATTCAACCAATGTTCCCAGTGGAGGGGTTAGGCTGTGAGATTGGGTTAGGGTTATATAGCTGTGGGATTGGGTTAGGGTTATATAGCTGTGGGATTGGGTTAGGGTTATATAGCTGTGGGATTGGGTTAGGGTTATATAGCTGTGGGATTGGGTTAGGGTTATATAGCTGTGGGATTGGGTTAGGGTTATATAGCTGTGGGATTGGGTTAGGGTTATATAGCTGTGGGATTGGGTTAGGGTTATATAGCTGGGGGATTGGGTTAGGGTTATATAGCTGTGGGATTGGGTTAGGGTTATATAGCTGTGGGATTGGGTTAGGGTTATATAGCTGTGGGATTGGGTTAGGATTATATAGCTGTGAGATTGGGTTAGGGTTATATAGCTGTGGTATTGGGTTAGGGTTATATAGCTGTGGGATTGGGTTAGGGTTATATAGCTGTGGGATTGGGTTAGGGTTATATAGCTGTGGGATTGGGTTAGGGTTATATAGCTGTGGGATTGGGTTAGGGTTATATAGCTGTGAGATTGGGTTAGGGTTATATAGCTGTGGGATTGGGTTAGGGTTATATAGCTGTGGGATTGGGTTAGGGTTATATAGCTGTGAGATTGGGTTAGGGTTATATAGCTGTGGGATTGGGTTAGGGTTATATAGCTGTGGGATTGGGTTAGGGTTATATAGCTGTGAGATTGGGTTAGGGTTATATAGCTGTGGGATTGGGTTAGGGTTATATAGCTGTGGGATTGGGTTAGGGTTATATAGCTGTGGGATTGGTTTAGGGTTATATAGCTGTGGGATTGGGTTAGGGTTATATAGCTGTGGGATTGGGTTAGGGTTATATAGCTGTGGTATTGCCTGTTATCTTGTTATCTTGGGGGGCTCAGATGCTTGACTGACATCTCATCCTTCATTCTCCTTCTTCAATCCTTCTTTCTCTCAGGACAAGAAAGAAGAGAGAGGCACAGCTCTGCTGGGGCTGACCCTCAGAGGAATGCAGCTTTATCAGGTGTGTGTGTGTGTGGTTTAATGCCGCTGTGTTTGAGGATATGTGTCTCATCTGTCTACGTGTGTCAGAGTGAACCTGCCTCCTCTCAAACCATCCCTCCTCCTCCTCCCTCCTCATCCTCCTCCTACTAGCCCCTCTACATCAACCATGTGAGGAATTTGTAGGTTATCTAGAAACAGCAGTAAAACACGGGATATGGTCTGAGTCATAATGGTACCCTATTCCCTACACAGTGCACTACCTTTGACCAGAGCCCTATGGGTAGTAGTGCACTAAGTAGGGACTAGGGTGCCATTTAGGGTCTCTGGCTCACAAACGGCGCTTGTACGCCAGTGGTCTGGGGGACCACCATACCAAGTCAACCCACACTGTAGTCCTGGAGCGTCTGCTAATGCATATTTATTATTATTATATTAGGAAAACGGGTTGGTGTCAACCCCTCACCTTTTGATTTGTCCTCGAGCCATCTGGGAGGATTAGACACACAAACACACACACACACACACACACACACACACAACACACACACACACACACTGGGAGGATTAGTTAGGGATCTAGGGGCCGTAGTGATTTAGGAGGGTTAAGGTGATTACACACCCAGTAGACCGTGAGATACCGTGTGTGTGTGTGTGTGTGTGTGTGTGTGTGTGTGTGTGTGTGTGTGTGTGTGTGTGTGTGTGTGATAAACACCCAGTAGACTGTGAGGACCTATCAGAGCTCATGGCCTCTTGGTCTTATCTAGGTCAAGATGGACCCACTGAAAAAGGAGAGAAACACATGTTGGATTGTACATCTTCCTATCAAGATAAACTTTTTTACATGATACTGTCTGGAATAAAGTATGAATCTCTCAGAATGCTGCCAAAAGCCAACCATTTGCCTCAACAGAAGCTCACTATTTGGCAAACACCAAAAGGATGATCACCCAATTTGACCCAATGAGTTTGGTTCATACTTTAAAACTGTTTATTCATGATTTACTACATATGAACTAATGATTCACTATCCATAAGCTACTAATAAACCCTTTAAACGGAAGTGTAACCAATGTCTTTCCCAGTGTAATGTGTGTGTCATTTCCCCAGGAGGTGGACAACATTCGGCAGCTTCTCTATGACTTCCCCTGGTCCAACGTGGGACGACTCACCTTCCTGGTACCCTCTACTTTATATGCTATTAACTTATCTAAAGTGACTTCCTGTACAGTGAGTGCAGGTCTATGGTGTATATGTATGCAATCCCGGCGGGAATTGAAACCACAACCTTGGTGTTACTAGCGTCATGCTCTTTCCATTGTCTTTTAAATGAAGTGGTATTGTAATGATTATTTAATGAGGGTATTAATAACACTGAGCTGTGTATGATTCCATCATGTCCTCATCTCCTCAGGGTTACATTTTACATTGACATTTTAGTAATTTAGCAGACACACTTATCCAGAGCGACTCACAGGAGCAATTAGGGTTAAGTGCCTTGCTCAAGGGCATAGACAGATCTTTCACCTAGTTAGCTTGGGGATTCGAACCTACAACCTTTCAGTCACTGGCCCAATGCTCTTAACCGCTAGGCTACCTGCCGCCTAGTGTTCTTACTCAATCTACCTGGTCAAATAAATAAATCATGATTTCATCATGTTGCCCTTCCTTCTCCTGTTCCTCCAGGGGAAGAAATTTGAGATCCAGCCAGATGGTCTGCCGTCGGCCAGGAAGCTGGTCTACTACACAGGGTCTCCGTTCCGCTCACGCCACCTCCTCCTGCACCTCAGCAACAGCCACCGCCTTTACCTCAGTCTACAGCCTGCCCTCAAACACCTCCGACAGCTGGAGGACAGCGAGGGTGAGTGGGGATGGAGGGGAGGAGGGAGGGAGGGAGGGAGGGAGGGAGGGAGGGAGGGAGGGGAATGCGTTTCAGAGTGATTAGAGATGAGGCCTAATGGTTATCTATCGAGTAGCACAATGCTAATAACAAATGTTCTTGATTGCGTTTGCATTTTAATCTGTTCGAAGCCAAAGTCAAATTTCCACAATAAAGTGTCTCTCCTCTCCTCTCCTCTCCTCTCCTCTCCTATCCTATCCATGAATGAATGGCTGAATTTGAACATCCTCCTCCTCCCCTCTCTGTCCCCCCTCCAGAGAAGAAGCGCTACAGGGAGTCGTACATCAGTGATGACCTGGATCTAGACCCTCCAGGGGGCAGCGAGGGGGGCAGCCCCGGCCTGTCCCGACACTCTACCTCCAGCTCGGGCATCGAGGCAGACCGCGACGCAACAAGGCAACACAGCAGCATCTCCATGGAGATGGCGTCCATGGAGATGGCGTCCATGGAGATGGCGTCCATGGAGGAGGAGACGGGAGCGAGAAAGAGGATGGAGAAGTGTTTCAGTTCGGCGGCGAGTCACGGGAGTTCTCACACCTCGGGCGTGGACACGGGCAGCAAAGCACGCACTGATGAAGAGGAGTGGCAGGAGGAAGGTGAGAGAGGAGAGGAGGTTAGAGTTTAAGGTAACAGTCAAAGCGTGTGTGTGTGTGTGTGTGAGTGAAAGACAGAAATGTGTGTATCTGATGTATCTTGATCCATTGTCTTAGGTCAGGCGGCCTCACTCTTACGCAATGTAGGGTATCCATCCACTCCACCCGGAGTGGGTGAAAACAAGCTTTTGTGATGAAATTTCACTTCCTGATGTTATAAAATACATTTTACCAAGACAAATATGATTCTTCATGTTCTGAATTGTTCAGTGGGGTCTTTCTCTAACATATCATTAACATTATACCCAAAAAGTTAGATTTTGTGACCTAATAGAGCCGATAATAAGCAGCGAGCTCTGTTGACATAGCGGTGTAGCTTTCTCACAGAGAGTTTTGAGGATTTTACATCTGGTGGTTGTCTGCAAAGTTATTTCCGCGGGTCGCGAAAAGCAAAATTAACGTAATGAGCTGAAATAAATGTAAAGTGCTCCTTTGACATTTCACAGAGATATGCTTTTTTCTGATAAATCTTTGAAAAAGAACAGGAACTTCACATTAATAGTTTTATGTCCTGCGGATTTGAGAAGAAAGATGACCAGTTCAATGGTGAGCCTGTCTGTAGAGTTCAGTGGTAAGCCTGTCTGTAGAGTTCAATGGTAAGCCTGTCTGTAGAGTTCAATGGTAAGCCTGTCTGTATAGTTCAATGGTAAGCCTGTTCTGTAGAGGTTCATGGTAAGCCTGTCTGTAGAGTTCAATGGTAAGCCTGTCGGTAGAGTTCAATGGTAAGCCTGTCTGTAGGAGTTCACTGGTAAGCCTGTCTGTAGAGTTCAATGGTAAGGCCTTGTCTGTAGGGTTCACCTGGTAAGCCTGTCGGTAGAGTTCAATGGTAAGCCTGTTCTGTCGAGTTCAGTGGATAAGCCTGTCTGTAGAGCTTCAGTGGTCGCCTGTCTGTAGAGTTCAATGGTAAGCTGTCTGTAGAGTTCAATGGTAAGCCTGTCTGTAGAGTTCAATGGGTAAGCCGGGTTCTCGTAGAGTTCAATGGTAAGCCTGTCTGTAGAGTTCAATGGTAAGCCTGTCTGTAGAGTTCAATGGTAGCCTGTCTGTAGAGTTCAATGGTAAGCCTGTCTGTAGAGTTCAATGGTAAGCCTGTCTGTAGAGTTCATGGTAAGCCTGTCTGTAGAGTTCAATGGTAAGCCTGTCTGTAGAGTTCAATGGTAAGCCTGTCTGTAGAGTTCAATGGTAAGCCTGTCTGTAGAGTTCAATGGTAAGCCTGTCTGTAGAGTTCAATGGTAAGCCTGTCTGTAGAGTTCAATGGTAAGCCTGTCTGTAGAGTTCAATGGTAAGCCTGTCTGTAGAGTTCAATGGTAGTTCCTGTCTGTAGAGTTCAACGGTAAGCCTGTCTGGGAGCCTTAATTCTCTCACAGCATCCAGCCTAGCTGACTCCATGATATTCTCCTGATTTATGACCATTGATTTAGTCACCCTAATTCTGACCATCCTACAAGGGTAAAAACTCCAATAAGTTTTGAACAGATTATGATAGAGACGTGAGGTTTGGACCATTGGTTTTCTTAGAGGATTATTATTATTATTTTACCCATTGGCAAAAGATGCGTTTTTGATTGGACACCCTACTAGTCACAATCACTCCGCAGTGTAGAAAAGTGTAGAAAATGTGTAGAAGTGTAGTGTAGAAAATCAGTGTAGAAAATGTAGAAAAGCAGCCATGTCACTTGGTGAGTGTGTGTCATCAATTGAAAAGGAGTGGAGCAGCAGCATGATGATGTCACTGTTCAGGAATTCAGTGTTCTGGAAGTGTGTTACTAGCATTCATCCTCTATCTTATCTTCACAAAGTTGAAGTTTGAAAGATAAAGATTACGCAAACATGTTTTACTCACATCCTCCCACAGCTCACAGAATGACCTGTTTATGGTCTGCTGCCCTGTTACTCAAGTAATACACACACACACACACACACACACACACACACACACACCCATACACTACCAGTCAAGTTTGGACACACCTACTAATTCAAGGGTTTTTCTTTATTTGAACTGTTTTTTTACATTGTAGAATAATAGTGAAGACATCAAAACTATGAAATAACACATATGGAATCATGTAGTAACCAAAAAAGTGTTAAACAAATCAAATGATATTTTATATTTGCGATTTTTCAAAGTAGCCATCCTTTGCCTTGATGACAGCTTTGCATTCTCTCAACCAGCTTCATGAGGTAGTCACCTAGAATGCATTTCAATTAACAGGTGTGCCTTCTTAAAAGTTAATTTGTGGACTTTCTTTCCTTCTTAATGCGTTTGAGCCAATCAGTTGTGTTGTGACAAGTTAGGGGGGTATACAGAAGATAGCCCTATTGGGTAAAAGACCAAGTCAATATTATGGCAAGAACAGCTCAAATAAGCAAAGAGAAACGACAGTCCATCATTACTTTAAGACATGAAGGTCAGTCAATACGGAACATTTAAAGAACTTTGAAAGTTTCTTCAAGTGCAGTCGCAAAAACCATCAAGTGCTATGATGAAATGGGCTCTCATGAGGACTGCCACAGGAATGGAAGACCCAGATTTACCTCTGCTGCAGAGGATAAGTTCATTAGAGTTACCAGCCTCAGAAATTACAGGCCAAATAAGTGCTTCACAGAGTTCAAGTCACAGACACATCTCAACATCAACTGTTCAGAGGGGACTGTGTGAATCAGGCCTTCATGGTAGAATTGCTGCAAAGAAACCACTACTAAAGGACACCAATAATAAGAAGAGACCTGCTTGGGCCAAGAAACCCGAGCAATGGACATTAGTCCGGTGGAAATGTGTCCTTAGGTCTGGAGTCCAAATTGGAGATTTTTGGTTCCAACCGCCGTGTCTTTGTGAGACGCGGTGTGGGTGAACGGATTATCTCCGCATGTGTAGTTCCCACCGTGAAGCATGGAGGAGGAGGTGTTATGGTGTGGGGGTGCTTTGCTGGTGACACTGTTTGTGATTTATTTAGAATTCAAGGCACACTTAACCAGCATGGCTACCACAACATTCTGCAGCGATACGCCATCCCATCTGGTTTGGGCTATCATTTGTTCTTCAACAGGACAATATCCCAACACACCTCCAGGCTGTGTAAGGGCTATTTTACCAAGAAGTAGAGTAATGGAATGCTGCATCAGATGACCTGGCCTCCACAATCCCCCGACCTCAACCCAATTGAGATGGTTTGGGATGAGTCAGACGGCAGAGTGAAGGAAAAGCAGCCAACAAGTGCTCAGCATATGTGGGAACTCCTTCAAGACTGTTGGAAAAGCATTCCAGGTGAAGCTGGTTGAGAGAATGCCAAGAGTGTGCAAAGCTGTCATCAAGGCAAAGGGTGGTTATTTGAAGAATCTCAAATATCAAATATATTTGGATTTGTTTAACACTTTTTTGGTTACTGCATGATTCCATATGTTTTATTTCATAGTTTTGATGTCTTCACTATTATTCTACAATGTAGAAAATTGTAAAAATAAAGAAAAACCCTTGAATGAGTAGGTGTGTCCAAACTTTTGACTGGTAGTATACACACACACATACCTGCGGTATGGAATAAATACTCCATGTTCAGTTAACTTTGGCTACGTTCCAATATCCACACTAGAATACTGCTTACAATGCTTGCCAAATATATTGCTTAATTCTACATGGTATGTTAGTGTGGTTATTCAAATACACTTTCCATGACATAGATTGACCAGGTGAATCCAGGTGAAAGCTATGATCCCTTATTGATGTCACCTGTTAAATCCACTTCAATCAGTGTAGATGAAGGGGAGGAAACAGGTTAAAGAAGGATTTTGAAGCCTTGACATAATTGAGACATGGATTGTGTATTTGTGCAATTCAGAGGGTGAATGGGCAAGACAAAATATTTAAGTGCCTTTGAACGGGGTATGGTAGTCGGTACCAGGCACACCGGTTTGTGTCAAGAACTGCAACGCTGCTGGGTTTTTCACACTTAACAGTTTCCCGTATGTATCAAGAATGGTCCACCACCCAAAGGACATCCAGCCAACGGCAGGCCAGTGGCCGAAAACTGGTCATTGATGAAAGAGGACAAAGGAGGCCGACACATTGTGCAGAGCAACAGCCGGGCCACAGTTAGTCAACTGACAGTCCAGTACAACATTGGTCCCCAAAGACCCATAAAATAATGCACAACTCGTCGTACCTTGACACAAATGGGGTATGGTAGCCGACGACCTTACAGAGTTCCACTTCTTTCAGCAAAAAACAAGAAACTACCGTTGCATTGGGCTAAGGAATGAAAACACTGGAGAATTAGAAAAACATTGCCTGGTCTGATGAATCCCGGTTCCTGCTGTTTCACGCTGATGGGAGGACTAGGGAATGGAGAAAACCACATGTATCCATCATGCTGCGTGTCAAAATGACAGGCTGGTGGGGGTGGTGTGATGGTGTGGGGTGTGTTTTCATGGCACACATTGGGCCCCTTGGTAAAAGTGGAGCGAAGTTTGAATACTACAGAATATCTGAACATCATTGCCAATTAAGGTGCATTCCTTCATGGCAGCAGTGTATCCATCTGCAAATTGATTTTTTCAGCAGGATAATGCCCCATGCCACAAGGCTAGGATTTTCCAGGAATGGTTCCACAAACATGACAGTGAATTCGGCTTACTGCAGTGGCCTTCCCAGTCACCAGTTCTCAATCCAATTGAGCATCTGTGGGATGAGATGGAACGAGTTATTCGGAGTAGAGATCCACTACCAGCCAACTTGACACAACTGTGGGAAGCATTGGAGTTAACATGAGCCAGCATCCCTGTGGAACGCTTTCGACACCTTGTAGAGTCCATGCCCCGACGAATTGTGGCTGTTCTGAGGACAGAAGGGGATGGTGGTGTAACTCAATATTACAAAGGTGTTCCTAATGTTTTATACACTCTGTGTACATATCACTTCATTCTAAGTGGAATATTATTGCGGACATTGATCGTTCATTCAAAAGTATTTTTCCACTAAGTATTCTGATTCTCCTCTTCAGAGACCCAGCAGGCCAGTGTGGACAGTCCAGGAGAGGTTTCCGTGGACGACGCAGAGGAATTGCTGAGATTGGCTGAGCTGATTGAGGGCGTGTCGGTTGATTGTCCTATGCTCACCTCAGAGACTCATTGTGAAGGTGAGGTTGTAAGCCACATGAGTTCTTATCACATTACATTCTAAGTATTTTAACAACTGAGAACTTATAGGACATGAGAAGTGTTTTTAAATAACATACTACCAAAACTTGCATTTTTCCCATATATTTGTGGAAAAGTACTACTGCTACTAGTTTAACTAATTGTACTGAAACTTTAGCAGAGATGAGCTATTGTTCATAAAGAACGTTAAAAATGTAGTCTCATATGCCCCCTAGTGGCATGGGAAATTTTATGATATTATTTCAGATTCTTGCATTGCTGAAATGAAATGTGAGTGTAAAATGGAGTCCACGTACCTGCCTCTAGCTGACTACAGTGATGTCATTTTAACAGGATTAAAGGGGGATCAGGTAGACAGAGGTGAAGATCTGGTGACACTACGCAGCAAAGATACCCTGGGACAGGTAAGACTCCTATCCTCCTCCTATCTTCTTCTTCTTCCTCCTCCTCCTCCTTTCTCAGGATACTCCATGTTTTCCTCTCCTTCTATCTCTTATCACTTTCATAAACGTTCTCTCTTTCTGTATTGCAGATCCTGAAGTCAAGATCCCATTGCGTGGACCGCCACAGCCAGAGTCTGGATGACATTCGCCTCTTCCCCCCTCCCGCCCCCCTCGGCACGACCCTCCCCACTGACTCCTCCCACAGCTACACCTTCGGCCTGCCCCTCCCGGACCCCCAGAGTAACGCTAAGAGCCCCCCAGGGTGTAACAACGGGGGCTACTACGTCCCCTTCCACTGCCCGGCTAAGGGCAGCTTCTATGGACACAGGTCTATGAACTGCCTCTCCCTGGATCTACTGGGAGACGAACAGCTGTTGGAGTTTATACTGTAGAACAACAGAGGACCAATGTCCTTCTTCAAGTCTATTCTCTACCTACATCCCCCTCCAATGAAACTGTAGGATGCAGGGGAGTGGCTGCATGCAGCGTGAGTTCTAACTGTAGAACATAACGTTTTTACACTACCTGGCCAAACTGAACTGTGCTGGCCTAGTTACATCAAGGAGCACCAATACCTTTCTGTGAACACCAATACCCTTTTCACACTACTGAACCAGGCCTTTCCAAACTGTACGGTGCTGGTTTGGTTACATGAAAGAGCACCAATAGCCTTTTCACAGTACCGGGCCGAGCCGAACTGAACTGTGCTGGCCTGGTTACATCAAGGCGCATGGATGCCCCTCTTCAAGCATGTGCTCTACTGTATGACCCAGATACAGGGGAGAGGCTGCACAGAGATGTTGGACGACTTTATGGACCTTTTCAAGAGGAGAGAAGAAGTCTGACATTGATTGGTATTGGTAGCGTTCATTGTGAAACGGAAGGAGGCCATCGCCTTCAATAGTCATCCCAATACAGAACTACTCTACATATTTATTCAACATGTTTGACACTGTTTTTGTTTTACCTTTTTTAGAGACTTTGTACATAATTGTCTATTTTCTACTATTTTACTATATTTTTTACTTTTAGGTACTAACACATTGTAACCATATCAATAACTGTAAATTATACACAGCTGTATAGTCCTTATGTAAATGGGGGTGACCATTGCATTTCTTCTTCAGTTAGTTTCTTAATTGGTGTGTGTGAATCGTGGCATAGTTTGAACAGGCAGTACCTCCAGAATCCAAGTACTTTATGGTCTGTTGTGAAGAACAAAGTACTTTACTGCACGTTGACATCCTGTGTAAATGAAATGTATCGTCATTACATTAATAAAAATAACCAACACCATTTTTAATCCTACATTTTACTTTTGTTTCCTTTGTCAGTTTGTCTGTAAAAAAAGAATGCTCTGAAATGAACATCATACGTACACGATTGTGTATATTTGTTCTAATTCTGTCGCAATAATACTTAAGAATCAAATTGATATTTTATGATATTACAAGTCTGCCATAGCTCTAATAATGTTACTAATAAGCAGCACAGTTATGTACTTAGAACTATTACTGTGATTGTCTTCATGCATTCACTGGAATTATTATATAAATTAAGCAATGACAAAGACTCTCTATGTTGCTCAGCTCACATATTGGGGTCAGTTACCTCTTTTTTATATTGCTTCTTTGTTACTATAGTGTGTAATTGGCGCACTTTGGATTAGATACAATAAGCCTAAATACTGATCTGATAAGGTATGATCTCTTTATTTTGATACTATACAGTCTATGGCAGTGGTATTCAAAGTCGGTTGCGACCCCTAGTGGGGTTGCGGGGGAACTGCACTGGTGTCGCCAAACTAAACAAAAATGTAAACTTACGGGTTATTGTATGGGACAATATACAACGTTTTTGAGAAAGATATTTAGAAAAATTACATTTGATTGATTAAATGTATGTATTGGTTTCTTTTCAATTTGATAAGAGATTAAAATGTAATGAATTGAAGGTTATTTGTTGATGTAAAAATCAAATGTACCGATTTTAAGGTCGTGACATTATATTTGGCATGGGGTGAGGTAATTAGGAAATGAATGTGAAAAAAATTGGGTCCCCAGAAACTGTCAGAAAAAATGGGGTTCCCGCTGAAAAAGTTTGAATACCAGTGGTCTATGGTATGATCTTAATACTAATCCAAGGAAATATTGACATTATTTCCCCAGTTTATTTGCCTGTTATTTTGACAGTTTTTGAATGTTTTTGTTGATTTGCTCAAGAACACTCTCCTTCCAATGAAAGGCACAACTATTCTAGTGCGTTCTATTGGTGTATATTGTTATATGCATTGACGCTGAAAAGTATCTCCAGATCCACTGAATCTCAACAGGTCACATGGGCTTCATGTGACCCATGCATTTACTGCTACTCCTGAAATTGCCCTTCCTCTCAACCACACAACAAAATCAGTTTGACTGTCCTGCATGTTGCACCAAATGCACCTGCCTATAAGACAGCAAGAGAGAGTGAGGGGATCATCGAGTTGGTTGGGTAAGATTTTGTATCTGATAGGAATTATGTGTGGAGATCAGACAAATCTTGCGGGTCTGTCTCAAATTAGGGTTGTTTGAAATAAATTAAAAACCGTTTTTCACTTGCAGTTAATATATAGAGAGAGTTGTATAGAGTACAATAATTCCTACTGCTCAGGTTAAGTGAGCCACATTAATGTATATACATATTTGCAAATATGGTGCAGTGGGGCTAGTTTGAAGCTTTGGGTTGCTAAAAAGTGTTTTTATTTCAATTAAATTCATAGTGCTTTATTGGCATGAGAAACGCAACTCTCTCGCGAGAGTTGCGTTTGGCAACGGTGAGTGACGTATCAGGAAGTTTACATACCGACAAGAAACACGAGGGCATCTGTGAATCTTCGTACACACGTTGAAGTAGGCTTTTGACATGTCTTCTATTTTAATAAATGCCCTTTTATCAAGTTGTCATGATCCGGATACTTTGTTTAACACGTTGTGCTGGCCAAGTGATCTGTGGCCGGACACAGAAAGAGTAGAGGCACTGACAACGTTTATTGATGGGATTGGTAAACTACCCCAGTCGGACACATCTGACGATGGCGACAAAGTTGCCTTTTCAACTGCAAAAAGAGACATCTTTCTACGAAAGGTTGAGTCGATCATTTGGACACAATGTTTACCACTTCTCTTGAAAGTCTCGAACGGAGACATGGCATGCAATGGTAAAAGTGTGCAAGATGGAAGGGGTGAAATCACCAACGCTGTGTGCTGGCTTCTTTCTGTCTGCATCAACACACTGTGTGATACGGCAGTTTCAGGGCGAGTCGCCCGCACTGTCCTGCCATCCTTCCAGCTGCCAGACGGGGAGACGGAGGAAGAGCTTCCCGGTGAGGGGCGGCTGGGTATCGACGTGGCTATCGAAGCCATGTCAGTCATTCTACCCACTCTCTCATCCAACGAAGAATTGACCACGTCGATCCTCTCATCCGCCATGTCCTGTATAAAGACGTTATCGGATGCTCTGGTGTCCAAAATCACCGTTCGGCTTATTTTCACTCTCCTCAACTGCTACAGCGAGGAGAGGATAGCGAGTACACTCCAATTCATCTTAGAGGATCTGTGTAGCTGGCACAAGAGTGACAGCTCAAACACGAACTCACCTGTGGTGACAGAACGCACTTTGCTGTGTTTAACAGCTCTCTCCGACTATCTCTTCCCGCCTGCTAAACTACAGCTGCACACCCCTCCTCAAAGTCTGAGCTATACTCGACCTGACCCTCGTCGTTCTCTGCAGTTCTGGAGGATTCTACAAGATGGACTGACCCACAAAGACAACGTGTCCCGGAAGCGGGCGTTGTACCTGCTGAAAAGGTGTGTCGCTCTGTCGGAGGATGAGGCGGCCGAGTTTCCAAGCAGTTCAGTGTCAATTGAAGGTAATATGCTAATACATGTGACAGACAGACTGACAAGCTTGATTATAATATTATCCATATGAAGCCATTTTCTTCACTATACAGATTAATACTAAAGTCTGTAAAACAGTATAGTTTAGCTTAGTTGTAACTATGTGAGTCCTTTGCAGATGATGAGATCATATTCAGATGGGCCCCAGACAGAAGCAAGTTGCTCAGAGAGTTCTGGGAGGACTATGCCTTGGTTATGGAGACACTGGAGGAGAACCAGGTAAGGAATATTATGGGTAACACTTGCTATGAAACCCCTCTTCATAATGCATTATACATGCATTTATAACACCGTTATAACGTCATAAACAACTATTACCTTTCCTCTGTTTCTTTCCAGATTCATGTGGTCCGCCCTGTGCTCAACAGAATCCATACCTTGATCCAAACAGCAGCGAATGATAGTCAAGGTGATGAGTGTGTTTGTGTCAACCATAAGGTGACAACCCAAACCTTTTAAAATCCTGCTAAATACTGCCTACCAATGGTCCATCTGTCTTCTCTCAGGCATCAGTCTGTTCCACCCGTCATGGCTGCTGGGTGTGTACCATCGTATGTTCCACAGTGAGAACAAGTCCGTCATGAGAGAGGGAGTGTGTCACCTCCTGGTACTCCAGGTGGTCCGACGCCCTGCCTTCGCCCTGGCCTTCTCACAGGTACCTGGTGCACTTGCCAATCAGTGTTAGAACATCTACCCAGAATGACCAAATTCTAGGTTTTCCCTTTTATAATATAATAATATAATATGCCATTTAGCAGACGCTTTTATCCAAAGCGACTTACAGTCATGTGTGCATACATTTTTTACGTATGGGTGGTCCCGGGGATCGAACCCACTACCCTGGCGTTTTCTATGTTATTAGTGTATGCACTGTCCAATAGTCAGCTACTTCCTTCTCAGGAGTGGTGGATTGGTGGTGGTTTTGTTTCTTGGTTTGGTGGGTGAGATGAGGAGGGACGGTAGGTGTTTAGTGTATGAGAGATCTTCTTATCCTTTGTCCCCTTGTTCCTCAGTTCATTGTGGGTCCTTTTATGGATGTGATGTCTGAAAGCTCCCTCTTTCACAGGTGAGCCAGCGCTCATAGCAGCACAACAGCAAAACACAATATTGATTTATAGACACATAGATGATGCAGTTTCTGCTAGTGATGAAGTAGTGAATTAGGCCTATTTAGAGTGACTTCCACTCAAAATGTTGAGGAGGGTTATGTCTCTCAATCTCCAGGACTGCAGGCCAGAGTGTAGGAGAGTGTCCTGAGCTGGGAGTCAAGCTGCAGGTCTTCATGGTCAGGTTCTTCAGCAGCCTGCCACAGGAGAACAGAGGTACTGTAACAGAGCTTCCACACAGGGCACTGAAAAACCTGGGCCATGTTCAGTAGGATACACCCTAGTACAACGTTTTGCAGAGGAAAATGAAAATCTGGGTTCTTCTTATTGGACAAATTCATGTACATTTCAAAAAGTTTTCTCCCAACTGAACTTGACCCAGATTTTTGTACTGTAGCTTGTTGTGGTGGTAATGCAAACAGTAATGACTGTTCATCAGAGATGGTCTGTAATGTTGATCCTCTGTCCTCTGTCTCCCCAGGCCCTGTAATGTTGATCCTCTGTCCTCTGTCTCCCCAGGTCCTGTAATGTTGATCCTCTGTCCTCTGTCTCCCCAGGTCCTGTAATGCTGATCCTCTGTCCTCTGTCTCCCCAGGTCCTGTAATGCTGATCCTCTGTCCTCTGTCTCCCCAGGTCCTGTAATGCTGATCCTCTGTCCTCTGTCTCCCCAGGTCCTGTAATGCTGATCCTCTGTCCTCTGTCTCCCCAGGTCCTGTAATGCTGATCCTCTGTCCTCTGTCTCCCCAGGTCCTGTAATGCTGATCCTCTGTCCTCTGTCTCCCCAGGTCCTGTAATGCTGATCCTCTGTCTCCCCAGGTCCTGTAATGCTGATCCTCTGTCCTCTGTCTCCCCAGGTCCTGTAATGTTGATCCTCTGTCCTCTGTCTCCCCAGGTCCTGTAATGTTGATCCTCTGTCCTCTGTCTCCCCAGGTCCTGTAATGCTGATCCTCTGTCCTCTGTCTCCCCAGGTCCTGTAATGTTGATCCTCTGTCCTCTGTCTCCCCAGGTCCTGTAATGTTGATCCTCTGTCCTCTGTCTCCCCAGGTCCTGTAATGTTGATCCTCTGTCCTCTGTCTCCCCAGGTCCTGTAATGCTGATCCTCTGTCCTCTGTCTCCCCAGGTCCTGTAATGTTGATCCTCTGTCCTCTGTCTCCCCAGGTCCTGTAATGTTGATCCTCTGTCCTCTGTCTCCCCAGGTCCTGTAATGCTGATCCTCTGTCCTCTGTCTCCCCAGGTCCTGTAATGTTGATCCTCTGTCCTCTGTCTCCCCAGGTCCTGTAATGTTGATCCTCTGTCCTCTGTCTCCCCAGGTCCTGTAATGTTGATCCTCTGTCCTCTGTCTCCCCAGGTCCTGTAATGTTGATCCTCTGTCCTCTGTCTCCCCAGGTCCTGTAATGTTGAACCTCTGTCCTCTGTCTCCCCAGGTCCTGTAATGCTGATCCTCTGTCCTCTGTCTCCCCAGGTCCTGTAATGTTGATCCTCTGTCCTCTGTCTCCCCAGGTCCTGTAATGTTGATCCTCTGTCCTCTGTCTCCCCAGGTCCTGTAATGCTGATCCTCTGTCCTCTGTCTCCCCAGGTCCTGTGTTGCTGCAGCTTGTCCAGCGGCTAGGCTCTCAACACTGGTGTTCTGTCCCCATCCTCTTCCTCTCTCAGGCCCTGTCCCACCTCCCTCCCTGCCCTCTCCTGGGCCCTGACGGCCTGCACGCTCTCAGGTAGCCTGTGGTTATGGGGCAAATCTGAAATAGTACCCTATTTGTTGGTCCAAAGCCCTATGAGTGCACTATATAGGGAATAGGGTGCCATTTCAAATGCAGCCATTGTCTAGACTCTAACTTGACAATAGGTTATTTATTTAGTGTTTATTATGGCCATAGTGGTATTGCTTGGTGTGGAAATGTGGATTCTATGAATCTCCATAGAACACTCTGCTTAGTCAATGGCTATGGGTAATCTGTGTCCGGGAAACTGTCCCTAAGGGTTTCTGTGTTGTATCTCAGGGAGGTGCTTCGCTCCACCATGATCACCCACCAGGTGCTACTGAGAGGAGCGGCACAGTGTTTCCTGCTAAACACCGCCCTCTCCCTGACAGATGTGGTAAGACACTATGATGTGTTTGAGGCTGTGCCACGTTGGTGCAAAGTGATGACATTTATCACCCAAATACAGTGTTGAAGAAGAGATTATAGCTATCAGCATACAAATGACAACATAATCAAAATAGCCGTTGCTAAACATGGATGATATTTGTGCCATCTTTTGCAGACCTCAGTGACGTTGGATAATGTGTTTAGTTTGCTGGTGCACTTCAGAGCAGACGAGTCTCTATGTAGAGGGACAGTACTCTGGAATCAGGTACTGTGTGGGGGTGGAATGAGGGAAGAGGTCTGTTCTTTTCAAACGTAAAAATTATAATATTTAGTGTATTTCCATCAGTTTTCCCTTGTGTATTTGTGTCTCCTCACTAGCTGTGTGACTGGCTGGCTGAAAGTGAAGGCAGCTTCAGGCCCTGTGTCAGAGAATCAGGTGATGGTACCAGTACCAGTACTTCTCCAGAGAGAGAGACTGTGAGAGGCTACGTCCAACAACAGATGGAGGCCTTCCTCAGAGTCCCGGCTAGCACAGGTGAGTCCCGGCTAGCACAGGTGAGTCCCGGCTAGCACAGGTGAGTCCCGGCTAGCACAGGTGAGTCCCGGCTAGCACAGGTGAGTCCCGGCTAGCACAGGTGAATCCGTTTTTCCAATTTACGAGTATTATCTGATCACGAATATCAACGGTTACAGATATGAGTATGTCTAGATGGACACACCTCTAGTATATACAATAGATGACTGTAATGATGAACTTTGTTGTGACGTCCTACAGAGCAGACAGACAGTGTACCGGACCCAGGAGAGGCTGAGCTGCTAGCCAGGGCCATCCTACTGTGTGTTGACACAGAGGAGAGGACTCAGAGGAGTTCTGGAGGAGAGGAGACTACTGGTGTCAGCAGTGGGATGGAGTCTGTCTTACGCCCCCTACTGGACACACTGAGCAGGCTCCACACTAATGTCTACCTTCCGCTACGCAAGACTGACAAGAGCCTGCAGCTGCTGCTACGACTACTGCAGCTCACACGCTCCAGACACACCCCTGCTGCAGTACTGCAGCTCACACGCTCCAGACACACCCCTGCTGCAGTACTGCAGCTCACACGCTCCAGACACACCCCTGCTGCAGTACTGCAGCTCACACGCTCCAGACACACCCCTGCTGCAGTACTGCAGCCAGAGAAAGAGCAAGGTATTTACTGTACTCTACTGTACTCTACTGTACTCTACTCTACTGTACTGTACTGTACTCTACTGTATTCTACCGTACTCTACTGTACTCTACTGTACTCTACTGTACTCTGCTGTACTGTACGGTGCTGTACTCTACTCTACTGTACTCTACTGTACTGTACTCTACTCTACTGTATTCTACTCTACTGTATTCTACTCTACTGTATTCTACTCTACTGTACTCTACTCTGCTCTGCTCTGCTCTGCTCTACTCTACTCTACTCTACTGTACTCTACTCTACTCTACTCTACTCCTCTTCTTTTCTCAACTTGACTCGAGTAGTGATCCATAGCAGTGATCCATAGCAGTGATCCATAGCAGTGATCCATAGCAGTGATCCATAGCAGTGATCCATAGCAGTGATCCATAGCAGTGATCCATAGCAGTGATCCATAGCAGTGATCCATAGCAGTGATTCATAGTAATGATCCATATTGATTCATTGCACTGGAAACATGCAACATCATATTTTCTGTATTGTAAAAATAAAAATGAACGTTTTTTGTCTTCTGTCTTATACAGAGGACAGTGTGACGGTCTCCATGGAAACGCTGATTCTGGGCGTGGTGGAGCCCATTCAGGAGTTCATCCTCCGAAGACTGAGTGGAGAACTGCAGGAGGTGAAAATGCACGCTCACTCTCACTCACATCCTATAACATTGATCATGTACCTGTATTTATCCTCAGCCTGTGTTTTGTTTGTATGTCCTCTCCAGCTATGTGATGTAGAGCGTGCTGAGCTCTACCTGTCGGTGCTGAAGGAGGTGGTGCTGATGTACAGTGTGTTAGAGTGGAACCACTCCAATGTACAGGCCTATTTCCCCAGACTCCTCAGATATGTCCTGAGGAGCCTAGAAGCTGACCAGGTATAGTACTACAGGATCTATCTACCCTCTCTCAAGCTGCTATCCTTCACTAGTCAATTCATAAATCATTGGATTCATGTGTCAATTTGAATAATGGGATATTTCTTTTAGCGGTTACACTCTGATTTCAAAGAAGACTAGTTGAACTGCTATTTGTCATGACATATTGATATTTGTCATGGTTTTCACTATTGAACTGGAAGGGACTTCACTGTGTTTGTGTTTCTCTTAGATCCCCTCTGTGGCGGGTCAGGTGTCCAGGGCGGTTGCCATGGCGTCGTTGGCCATGACCTGTGAGGTTGCAGCGCTGGGAGTGTTCAACCTCCAATCAGAGACCATGATTCTACTGGTCGATCTGTGTTGCTACTTCTACTCCCCTGCTCCACCCCCAGCCCCTCCTCTCTCTCTGGCCAACTTCAACCAGACCCTGCTGAAACCTCCCACTGCAGATCAGTCAACAGGGTCAGTAGAGAACAGTAGAGTGTAGTATATAGTATGGATGGATGGTATTGTTTGAATGCAGATGTAATGTGTTGTTGGATAGTACACAACTAGTATAAACACTATATGGTCCTCATTTCTCTGACAGTCAGGGCTCTAAATTGTGACTGTTTTGGTCACATGCTCTTAAATATTTTGCTGTGCAACCTGGAATTTACATTTGGGAGAAAAAACATCTCCCAGAGGTTACAACTCAAATGGTAAAATGGAGATTGTGTATGGGATATGGACAGCTAAATACAGTGAGCTCCAAAAGTATTGGGACAGTGACACATTTGTTGTTGTTTTGGTTCTGTACTCCAGCACTTTGGATTTGATACAATGACTATGAGGTTAAAGTGCAGACTGACAGCTTTAATTTGAGGGTATTTTCATCCATATCAGGTGGGGAAATTACAGCACTTTTTGTACATAGTCCCCCCATTTTAGGGGACCAAAAGTATTGGGACAAATTCACTTACACTACCATTCAAAAGTTTGGGGTCACTTAGAAATGTCCTTGTTTTCCATGAAAACATACATGAAATGAGTTTGAATAGGAAATATAGCAAAATGCATAGGAAATGTAGTCATTGACAAGGTTAGAAATAATGATTTTTAATTGAAATAATAATTGTGTCCTTCAAACTTTGCTTTTGTCAAAGAATCCTCCATTTGCAGCAATTACAGCCTTGCAGACCTTTGGCATTCTAGTTGTCAATTTGTTGAGGTAATCTGAAGAGATTTCACCCCATGCTTCCTGAAGCACCTCCCACAAGTTGGATTGGCTTGATGGGCACTTCTTACGTACAATAAGGTCAAGCTGCTCCCACAACAGCTCAATAGGGTTGAGATCCGGTGAATGTGCTGGCCACTCCATTATAGACAGAATACCAGCTGACTGCTTCTTCCCTAAATAGTTATTGCATAGTTTGGGGCTGTGCTTTGGGTCATTGTCCTGTTGTAGGAGGAAATTGGCTCCAATCAAGCGCCGTCCACAGGGTATGGCATGGCATTGCAAAATGGAGTGATAGCCTTCCTTCTTCAAGATCCCTTTTACCCTGTACCAATCTCCCACTTTACCACCACCAAAGCACCCCCAGACCATCACATTGCCTCCACCATGCTTGACAGATGGCATCAAGCACTCCTCCAGCATCTTTTCATTTGGTCTGCGTCTCACAAATGTTCTTCTTTGTGATCCGAACACCTCAAACTTTGATTCGTCTGTCCATAACACTTTTTTCAAATCTTCCTCTGTCCAGTGTCTGTGTTCTTTTGCCCATCTTAATCTTTCAGTCTGAGATATTGCTTTTTCTTTGCAACTCTGCCTAGAAGGTCAGCATCCCGGAGTCGCCTCTTCACTGTTGACATTGAGACTGGTGTTTTGCAAGTACTATTTAATGAAGCTGCCAGTTGAGGACCTGTGAGGCGTCTGTTTCTCAAACTAGACACTCTAATGTATTTGTCCTCTTGCTCAGTTGTGCACCGGGGCCTCCCACTCCTCTTTCTATTCTGAATAGAGCCAGTTTGCGCTGTTCTGTGAAGGGAGTAGTACACAGCGTTGTACGAGATCTTCAGTTTCTTGGCAATTTCTTGCATGGAATAGCCTTCATTTCTCAGAACAAGAATAGACTGACGAGTTTCAGAAGAAAGTTATTTGTTTCTGGCCATTTTGAGCCTGTAATCGAACCCACAATTGCTGATGCTCCAGATACTCAACTAGTCTCAAGAAGGCCAGTTTTATTGCTTCTTTAATCAGCGCAACAGTTTTCAGCTGTGCTAACATAATTGCAAAATGGTTTTCTAATGATCAATTAGCCTTTTAAAATGATAAACTTGGATTAGCAAACACAACGTGCCATTGGAACACAGGACTGATGGATGCTGATAATGGGCCTCTGTACGTCTATGTAGATATTCCATTAAAAATCAGCCGTTTCCAGCTACAATAGCCATTTACAACATTAACAATGTCTACACTGTATTTCTGATCAATTTGATGTTATTTTAATGGACAAAAAAATTGCTTTTCTTTCGAAAACAAGGACATTTCTAAGTGACCCCAAACTTTTGAACGGTAGTTTATATGTGTATTAAAGTAGTCAAAACTTTAGTATTTGGTCCAATATTCCCAGAACACAATGATTACATCAAGCTTGTGACTCTACAAACTTGTTGGATGTATTTGCTGTTTGTTTGTGTTGTATTTCGGATTATTTTGTGCCCACATAAAGAATCTCCAATCCAAAGTTAAATCTAGAATCGGCTTCCTATTTCGCAACAAGGCCTCCTTCACTCATGCTGCCAAACATGCCCTCGTAAAACTGACTATCCTACCGATCCTTGACTTCGGCGATGTCATTTACAAAATAGCCTCCAACACTCTACTCAGCAAATTGGATGTAGTCTATCACAGTGCCATCCGTTTTGTCTCCAAAGCCCCATACACTACCCACCACTGTGACCTGTACGCTCTTGTTGGCTAGTCCTCACTACATGTTCGTCGTCAAACCCACTGGCTCCAGGCCATCTATAAATCACTGCTAGGCAAATCCCCGCCTTATCTTAGCTCATTGGTCACCATAGCAGCACCCACCCGTAGTCTGCGCTCCAGCAGGTATATCTCACTGGTCATTCCCAAAGCCAACACATCCTTTGGCCGCCATTCCTTCCAGTTCTCTGCTGCCAATGACTGGAACGAATTGCAAAAATCTCTGAAGCTGGAGACTCTTATCTCCCTCAATAACTTTAAGCATCAGTTGTCAGAGCACCTTACCGATCACTGCACCTGTACACAGCCCATCTGAAATTAGCCCACCCAACTACCTCATCCCTATATTGTTATTTATTTTGCTCTTTTGCACCCCAGTATCTCTATTTGCACATAATCTCCTGCACATCTAGCATTCCAGTGTTAACACTATTGTAATTATTCTGCACTATAGCCTATTTATTGCCTTACCTCCATAACTTGCTACATTTGCACACACTGTATATATATTTTCTGTTGTATTTTTGACTTTATGTTTTTTACCCCATATGTAACTCTGTGTTGTTTTTATTGCACTGCTTTGCTTTATCTTGGCCAGGTCGCAGTTGTAAATGAGAACCTGTTCTCAACTGGCTTACCTGGTTAAATAAAGGTGAAAAAAATAAATAAAAAAAATAAAATAAATATTGATTTTGTTAGGATCTCTTTTAGCCCGAAGGCTAGTCTTCCAAGAGTTCTTAAGAAATATAAAAAACATACAGAAATTTGAAAAACAACAATAGCAAAGTAAGAACACAAACAAGATCCATGTTTCTATTACCTCTACATATTACACGTTACACACCCCAGCCTACCCCTTCTCCACCCACATACTGTTTTTTTACATTTTAAATCAATTAGCAGTCGCTCTTATCCAGAGCAACTTACAGCAGTGAGTGCATAATTTTTTTTTTTTCTCGTACTGGTCCCCCGTGGGAATCAAACCTACAACCCTGGCGTTGCAAACGCCATGCTCTACCAACTGAGCTACACAGGACCTATACCTCATGTGCATATTAATTTAAATACAACAGAACATATTACAATAACCTCTTAGACTCACTCTAGTCGTTCAAAACATTTTGTGAATTTATCTCTTAAAACAACTATTTGTCAAGTTTAAAAAAAACTTTCAAGGAGTTCCAGGACTACACTGCCCTGAAACTAAAAGCTATTTTGCACAGCTCTAATGTGGGTTTTGGTGGCCTTGGTAATCAGAGGTCCCTAGTAGAAGTAATGTGTGTGTGTGTGTGTGTGTGTGTGTGTGTGTGTGTTGTCTGGGAGATAGTAGTAATCAGAGGGCCTTACTGATATCTCTGATAATTAAGAGTTTGTCATCTGTCCACAGTGTTTCAGAGCAGGGTCCTCTCCTCCAGGACTGGGGCCGAATGGCAGCTAATTTCATCCGGGACCAGTGGACGTGCCTGGGCTACGGGAGGAGGATAGGACCCCCCGGGCCCATGGAGCTCCCCAGGGCGTCAGTGTCTCTCCAGGCTGCTATAGAGGCCCTGTCTCTGCTACCCAGTGGCCTGGTACTGCCTGTACTGGACTTCATGGCCTCCATGTTGCCACAGGTGAGTCTCTCTTTTTTATTCCCACCTTTATTTAACCAGGTAAGCCAGTTGAGAACAAGTTCTCATTTACAACTGTGACCTGGCCAAGATAAAGCAAAGCAGTGCGATAAAAACAACAACACAGAGTTACATATGGAATAAACAAAACGTACAGTCAATAACACAATAGAAAATCTATATACAGTGTGTGCAAATGTAGTAAGTTATGGAGGTAAGGCAATAAATAGGCCATAGTGCAAAATAATTACAATTTAGTATTAACACTGGAATGATAGATGTGCAGAAGATGATGTGCAAATAGAGATACTGGGGTGCAAATTAGCAAAATAAATAACAATATGGGGATGAGGTAGTTGGGTGGGCTAATTTCAGATGGGCTGTGTACAGGTGCAGTGATCGGTAAGCTACTCTGACAACTGATGCTTAAAGTTAGTGAGGGAGATAAGAGTCTCCAGCTTCAGAGATTTTTGCAGTTTGTTCCAGTCATTAGTAGCAGAGAACTGGATGGAATGGCGGCCAAAGGAGGTGTTGGCTTTGGGGATGACCAGTGAGATATACCTGCTGGAGCGCATACTACGGGTGGGTGTTGCTATGGTGACCAATGAGCTAAGATAAGGCGGGGATTTGCCTAGCAGTGATTTATAGATGACCTGGAGCCAATGGGTTTGGCGACGAATATGTAGTGAGGGCCAGCCAACGAGAGCGCACAGGTCACAATGGTGGGTAGAATATGGGGCTTTGGTGACAAAACGGATGACACTGTGATATACTACATCTAATTTGCTGAGTAGAGTGTTGGAGGCTATTTTGTAAATGACATCGCCGAAGTCAAGGATCGGTAGGATAGTCAGTTTTACGAGGGCATGTTTGGCAGCATGAGTGAAGGAGGCTTTGTTGCAAAATAGGAAGCCGATTCTAGATTTAACTTTGGATTGGAGATGCTTAATGTGAGTCTGGAAGGAGAGTTTGTGGTCTAACCAGACACCTAGGTATTTGTAGTTGTCTACATATTCTAAGCCAGACCCGCCAAGAGTAGTGATTCTAGTCGGCAGGCGGGTGCAAGCAGCATTCGATTGAAGAGCATGCATTTAGTTTTACTAGCGTTTAAGAGCAGTTGGAGGCTATGGAAGGAGTGTTGTATGGCATTGAAGCTTGTTAGGAGGTTTGTTAACAGTGTCCAATGAAGGGCCAGATGTATACAAAATGGTGTCGTCTGCATAGATGTGGATCTGAGAGTCACCAGCAGCAAGAGCGACATCATTGATATACACAGAGAATAGAGTCGGCCCGAGAATTGAACCCTGTGGCACCCCCATAGAGACTGCCAGAGGTAGTTGGTGAACCAGGGGAGGCAGTCATTTGAGAAACCAAGGCTATTTAGTCTACCAATAAGAATGTGGTGATTTACAGAGTCAAAAGCCTTGGCCAGGTCGATGAAGACAGCTGCACAGTACTGTCTTTTAATCGATCGCGGTTATAATATAGTTTAGGACCTTTTGCGTGGCTGAGGTGCACGGAAACCAGATTGCATAGAGCAGAAGGTACGGTGGGATTCGAAATGGACGGTGATCTGTAGCAGTTTGGATCTAGAGTGTCACCCCCTTTGAAGAGGGGGTTGACTGCGGCAGCTTTCCAATCTCTGGGGATCTCAGATGATACGAAAGAGAGGTTGAACATGCTAGTAATAGGGGTTGCTACAATTTCGGCGGCTAATTTTAGAAAGAAAGGGTCCAGATTGTCTAGCCCAGCTGATTTTCAGGGGTCCAGATTTTGCAGCTCTTTCAGAACATCAGCTATCTGAATTTGGGTGAATGAGAAGCGGGGGGGGCATGGGAAAGTTGCAAGGGGGGGGGGGGGGGGCAGAGCTGGTGGCCGGGGTAGGGGTAGCCAGGTGGAAAACATGGCCAGCCGTAGCAAAATGCTTATTGAAATTCTCGATTATCGTAGATTTATCGGTGGTGACAGTGTTTCTTAGCCTCAGTGCAGTGGGCAGCTGGGAGGAGGTGCTCTTATTTTCCATGGACTTTACAGTGTCCCAAAACTTTTTGGCGTTAGTGCTACAGGATGCAAATTTCTGTTTGAAAAAGCTAGCCTTTGCTTTCCTAACTGATTGTGTATATTGGTTCCTGACTTCCCTGAAAAGTTGCATATCGCGGGGGCTGTTCGATGCTAATGCAGTACGCCACAAGATGTTTTTGTGCTGGTCAAGGGCAGTCAAGTCTGGGGTGAACCAGGGGCTATATCTGTTCTTAGTTCTGAATTTTTTGAATGGGGCATGCTTATTTAAGATGAGGGAAAGCACTTTTAAAGAACAACCAGGCAGCCTCTACTGACGGAATGAGGTCAATATTCATCCAGGATACCCGGGCCAGGTCAAGTAGAAAGGCCTGCTCGCTAAAGTGTTTTAGGGAGCGTTTGACAGTGATGAGGGGTGGTTGTTTGACCTCTGACCCATTACGGACGCAGGCAATGAGGCAGTGATCGCTGAGATCCTGGTTGAAGACAGCAGAGGTGTATTTAGAGGGTCAATTAGTCAGGATAATATCTATGAGGGTGCCCATGTTTACGGATTTAGGGTTGTACCTGGTAGGTTCCTTGATAATTTGTGTGAGATTGAGGGCATCTAGTTTAGATTGTAGGACGGCCGGGGTGTTAAGCATATCCCAGTTTAGGTCACCAAGCAGTATGAACTCTGAGGATAGATGGGGGGCAATAAATTCACATATGGTGTCCAGGGCACAGCTGGGGGCTGAGGGGGGTCTGTAGCAAGCAGCAACAGTGATAGACTTATTTCTGGAGAGGTGTATTTTTAGAAGTAGAAGCTGTTTGGGCACAGACCTGGATAGTATGATAGAGCTCTGCAGGCTATCTCTACAGTAGATTGCAACTCCGCCCCCTTTGGCAGTTCTATCTAGATGGAAAATGTTGTAGTTGGGGATGGAAATTTCAGAGTTTTTGGTGCTTCCTAAGCCAGGATTCAGACACTGCTAGAACATCAGGGTTGGCGGAGTGTGCTAACACAGTGAGTAAAATGCAAAAAGCAAAGACTTTTACGGTTACAGAAGTCAACAAATGATAGCTCCTGGGGAGTAGGAGTGATACTGGGGGCTACAGGGCCTGGGTTAACCTCTACATCACCAGAGGAACAGAGGAGGAGTAGAATAAGGATACAACTGATATGGTCATGTCCACTACCTAGCTGAGACATTGCTTCTCATCCAGCTCTCTACAGGTTTGTCCACACCAACAACCATGTTTAAAGGGATAGTTCACCCAAATTACTAAATTACATATTTCCTTACCTTGTAAGCAGTCTATGGGGAAAGACAGTGAAATCCAAGCCTTGGTTTTGTTTAACAACTGATTTAGACAGCAACAGTGTTTCAGAAGAAAAAAAAAGGATATAGTGGCCATGTGGTCAACACATTTATGTCCTGTTTTATATGGCTTCTGATAAGGCCATATGAGATAGTGAACCTGTATTCCCCCCTCCCACCACCAGGTGGCACTGTCTGAGGAGGCACTCTGTGTAGAGGCTGTGACTGTCTCCTGGAAGTTGGTGCTGGGACTGAGCAGTAACCCTCATGACTTCTGGCCCACCCTGCAGGGCTTTGTGTCCATGGCCTTTCACCACAGCCTGTTGGCGTTAACAGAGGAGCAGGCACCTGTGCTCACTGCTATTCTACAACAGGTAACTAGAGGGAGGCATGGGGGATCAACACCTGGGTTCAAATGGTGTTTAAAATCTTTCAAATACTTTGAGCTTTTGACTGAGCCCACAGATGAGCGGGCTTTGTACTTCTGGGACTATTCAATTGGTTCCATTTCACCAGGCAAGTTCAATCAAGAGCAGCTAAAGTATTTTATTAAAGAAAATAAATACTAATTGAACCCATGTCTGGATGGAATAGATCCGTGTGGTGTCAGGCAACTTACTACATATTCACTACTTGGAGAAATGTGTCTTGGCAAGTAGTTTCAGGTATATGTTCAACAGAAAATGTAGTGGTTATCATGGGTATTAATAACACAACATTGATGTGGACACAGTTGATGTGTAATTAACCCACTACTGACTCCACTTCATTTCTAGATAGCTGTTGAGCTGACGGACCTCTCCCAGGCCAAGACCGGTGTATTCAACGTTCTGATCCAACACTGCTGCCACACCTGGCTGCCCTCTGACCCAGGAAGTGAAGGCCAGAGCCAATCAGACGCCATGTTCTCCAGTGCCCTACTGCACCCTGACATCCTGACTGAGGCATGTGTGTATGGACCCGTGTTCAGGAGGGACCAAAGGTGTGTGTGTATGTGTGTGTGTGTGTGGGGAGTGTGAGGAGTGTGTGAGAAAGAGAAAGAGAGTGAGTGTTAGTGAGTGAGAGTGGAAGTGAGTGAGAGTGGCTGAGAGTAAGTGAGAGTGACTGAGTGTTCAGGGCTTATTGCAGTGGTGAGGGTCATGTCATGTCTGGATAATGGCTGGTCTTCTCCATAGGCTGATCCAGGAGGTCCAGGTCTATGTGGAGGGGCTTGGAGAGGAGTGTGCTGCTAACACCACTGTCCCCAGGTCAGCTGCTGAACTCAGTTCATGTACCTTACTGTACTATACTGTAGTCTACTCTACTCTACTACTGTGGTCCTCTGGAGCTCAGTTGGTAGAGCATGGTGCTTGCAACTCCAGGATAGTGGGTTTGATTCCCAGGACCACCCATACGTAAAATTTATGCATACATGACTGTAAGTTGCTTTGGATAAAGGTGTCTGCTAAATGGCATATATTGGTATTATTTATTACTGTAGTGGGACTGGAACCTATTACCTAACCCCTCACTATAGTGGGACTGGAACCTATTACCTGACCCCTCACTGCACTGGGACTGGAACCTATTACCTGACTCCTCACTGTACTGGGATTGGAACCTATTACCTGACCCCTCACTATAGTGGGACTGGAACCTATTACCTGACCCCTCACTATAGTGGGACTGGAACCTATTACCTGACCCCTCACTATAGTGGGACTGGAACCTATTACCTGACCCCTCACTGTACTGGGACTGGAACCTATTACCTGACCCCTCACTGTACTGGGACTGGAACCTATTACCTGACCCCTCACTGTACTGGGACTGGAACCTATTACCTGACCCCTCACTGTACTGGGACTGGAACCTATTACCTGACCCCTCACTGTACTGGGACTGGAACCTATTACCTGACCGCTCACTGTACTGGGACTGGGACTGGAACCTATTACCTGACCCCTCACTGTACTGGGACTGGAACCTATTACCTGACCGCTCACTGTACTGGGACTGGGACTGGAACCTATTACCTGACCCCTCACTATAGTGGGACTGGAACCTATTACCTGACCCCTCACTGTACTGGGACTGGAACCTATTACCTGACCCCTCACTGTACTGGGACTGGAACCTATTACCTGACCCCTCACTGTACTGGGACTGGAACCTATTACCTGACCCCTCACTATAGTGGGACTGGAACCTATTACCTGACCCCTCACTATAGTGGGACTGGAACCTATTACCTGACCCCTCACTGCACTGGGACTGGAACCTATTACCTGACCCCTCACTATAGTGGGACTGGAACCTATTACCTGACCCCTCACTATAGTGGGACTGGAACCTATTACCTGACCCCTCACTGCACTGGGACTGGAACCTATTACCTGACCCCTCACTATAGTGGGACTGGAACCTATTACCTGACCCCTCACTGTACTGGGACTGGAACCTATTACCTGACCCCTCACTGTACTGGGACTGGAACCTATTACCTGACCCCTCACTGTACTGGGACTGGAACCTATTACCTGACCCCTCACTGTACTGGGACTGGAACCTATTACCTGACCCCTCACTATAGTGGGACTGGAACCTATTACCTGACCCTTCACTATAGTGGGACTGGAACCTATTACCTGACCCCTCACTGTACTGGGACTGGAACCTATTACCTGACCCCTCACTGTACTGGGACTGGAACCTATTACCTGACCCCTCACTATAGTGGGACTGGAACCTATTACCTGACCCCTCACTATAGTGGGACTGGAACCTATTACCTGACCCCTCACTATAGTGGGACTGGAACCTATTACCTGACCCCTCACTGTACTGGGACTGGAACCTATTACCTGACCCCTCACTATAGTGGGACTGGAACCTATTACCTGACCCCTCACTGTACTGGGACTGGAACCTATTACCTGACCCCTCACTATAGTGGGACTGGAACCTATTACAGTGGGGAAAAAAAGTATTTAGTCAGCCACCAATTGTGCAAGTTCTCCCACTTAAAAAGATGAGAGGCCTGTAATTTTCATCATAGGTACACGTCAACTATGACAGACAAAATGAGAAAAAAAATTCCAGAAAATCACATTGTAGGATTTTTAATGAATTTATTGGCATATGATGGTGGAAAATAAGTATTTGGTCAATAACAAAAGTTTCTCAATACTTTTGTTATATACCCTTTGTTGGCAATGACACAGGTCAAACGTTTTCTGTAAGTCTTCACAAGGTTTTCACACACTGTTGCTGGTATTTTGGCCCATTCCTCCATGCAGATCTCCTCTAGAGCAGTGATGTTTTGGGGCTGTCGCTGGGCAACACGGACTTTCAACTCCCTCCAAAGATTTTCTATGGGGTTGAGATCTGGAGACTGGCTAGGCCACTCCAGGACCTTGAAATGCTTCTTACGAAGCCACTCCTTCGTTGCCCGGGCGGTGTGTTTGGGATCATTGTCATGCTGAAAGACCCAGCCACGTTTCATCTTCAATGCCCTTGCTGATGGAAGGAGGGTTTCACTCAAAATCTCACGATACATGGCCCCATTCATTCTTTCCTTTACACGGATCAGTCGTCCTGGTCCCTTTGCAGAAAAACAGCCCCAAAGCATGATGTTTCCAACCCCATGCTTCACAGTAGGTATGGTGTTCTTTGGATGCAACTCAGCATTCTTTGTCCTCCAAACATGACGAGTTGAGTTTTTACCAAAAAGTTATATTTTGGTTTCATCTGACCATATGACATTCTCCCAATCCTCTTCTGGATCATCCAAATGCACTTCAGACGGGCCTGGACATGTACTGGCTTAAGCAGGGGGACACGTCTGGCACTGCAGGATTTGAGTCCCTGGCGGCGTAGTGTGTTACTGATGGTAGGCTTTGTTACTTTGGTCCCAGCTCTCTGCAGGTCATTCACTAGGTCCCCCCCGTGTGGTTCTGGGATTTTTGCTCACCGTTCTTGTGATCATTTTGACCCCACGGGGTGAGATCTTGCGTGGAGCCCCAGATCGAGGTAGATTATCAGTGGTCTTGTATGTCTTCCATTTCCTAATAATTGCTCCCACAGTTGATTTATTCAAACCAAGCTGCTTACCTATTGCAGATTCAGTCTTCCCAGCCTGGTGCAGGTCTACAATTTTGTTTTTGGTGTCCTTTGACAGCTCTTTGGTCTTGGCCATTGTGGAGTTTGGAGTGTGACTGTTTGAGGTTGTGGACAGGTGTCTTTTATACTGATAACAAGTTCAAACAGGTGCCATTAATACAGGTAACGAGTGGAGGACAGAGGAGCCTCTTAAAGAAGAAGTTACAGGTCTGTGAGAGCCAGAAATCTTGCTTGTTTGTAGGTGACCAAATACTTATTTTCCACCATAATTTGCAAATAAATTCATTAAAAATCCTACAATGGGATTTTCTGGATTTTTTTTTCTCAATTTGTCTGTCATAGTTGACGTGTACCTATGATGAAAATTACAGGCCTCTCTCATCTTTTTAAGTGGGAGAACTTGCACAATTGGTGGCTGACTAAATACTTTTTTTCCCCACTGTACCTGACCCCTCACTATAGTGGGACTGGAACCTATTACCTGACCCCTCACTATACTGTGTTGGGGCTAAATAAAACATGGAGTTGACCATGTCGCTGACAATAGTGGACATTCTTTGTACTATAGTCAACAGTGAATGTAGTCCATATTTCTCATCAGAGATACATTTATCTCTGTGCTTTCTCTCTCTCAGTGACAACAGGGATGACCAGTTTCCACGTGTGTGTGTCCTGGCGTTCCTCAGCCGCCTCCAGCCCTCTAATCAGCTGCATGAGAGACTGATGGAAGAGCTGGTTCTCCGCTTGCTGAAGAAGGTAAGACCAGGGCTCTTCCTCAGTTAGTCTTTCCTCGCGGCCTCTCTCCTTACCTCCTTGTCAAAATGCATTAGAGGAGAACATCCAAGGTTCCTCCTCTCAGATCTTATCCTCCATTGAATTTTGAGCAGGAGACGACCAGAGAGGACGGTAGGAATCAAGGCAAGACTGACACTGCTGGAGATTTGGCTTGTTCATAGTCCATGATGTCTACTCATTCAGTGTGTTCACAGCATCACACACATTAATCCAGTTCATACTCCAGTAATATATTAAAGACCATTGTCCATCTCCCTGAGCTCCAACACAGTAGTTCTTAGTTAATGTGTAGTTTTAAAGATAAGTATTTTTCTCTTTCAGGATGAGGCCATATCTAAGTCGAAACAGCGTTACTATAGCAACTCCCTGCAGCATCGCGTGAAGAACAGGGTGTGGCAGACACTGCTGATGCTGCTACCCAAACTGAGAGCGGTGAGACACACACACACACACACACACACAAACAATACACACACACACACACACACACACACACAATACACACACACACACACACACACAAACAATACACACAAACAATACACACACCTGAATTAACCCTCTATTAACCCTGTGTTTGTGTTCATCCAGGAGTTTGTAGGTAGCATTCTGGGTCGTGTGTTTGAGGCAGGCTTCGTCAGTAACCAGGCCTCAGTCAAGTACCTGATAGAGTGGAAGATGGTTCTAATCCTAGTCCAGTACCCTGAACACATAGACCGACTCTGGGCCTGCTTCGCTGTGGTGAGTGCTTACACTTTTCGTATGTGTATGTGATCACTGCGGGAATTGAACCCTCAACCTTGGTGTTGCTAGTGCCACACTCTTACCCACTGAGCCACACAGGACCACAAAAACTGGTATCTATTGTATTGTCACTGAATGAAAACTGGTATCTATTGTATTGTCACTGAATGAATACTGGCATCTATTGTATTGTCACTGAATGAAAACAGGCGTCTATTTTCACTGGCTCAAAGAACTTGTAATAGTCATTATTGATCTATAGCCGGTGTGTCTTATTGATGTGATTTGTGTCTTTGTGAACAGGACCAAGAGAAGACCAAGACCAGTATCTGTACCTTCCTGTCTGTGTTGGTCCACCTCAACATCATCATGCCTAAACTCAAGGAGAAGGTAAGGTCCACATATCACAATCATCAAGTAAAACCTTCAAAGCACAGGGGACTCTTCCTCCTCTCCTGACCCGCTCTCCTCCTCCTCTGTGTCCCTCCCTACCAGGCAGTACAGTGGTATAAGGCCATGGATGTGATCCTCCAGTGGTGTTTCAGTGTGTTTCAGCCATAACTTCAGTGTTCACACCTCTCTCTCTCTCTCTCTCTCCCCCCCCCCCCCACCACCAGGCAGTACAGTGGCGTAAGGCCCTGGATGTTATCCTCCAGTGGTGTTTCAGCCATAACTTCAGTGTTCGCCTGTACGCCCTGCTGGCCTTGAAGAGGGTGTGGGGTCTGCAGGGGGCGAGGGCCGAGGAGGGGCCGGACGGGCTCGGGGGGCTGGCCACCGTCGTTAAGGCCTGCCTGCACCAGGCTGAGGCTATGCAGAGGACTGGGTGAGGGAGTTACATGTGAACTAGGATGTTGTTGGATCATTTTTGTAGCGCTAACAAGGTTCAATTCTCGCAGGAATCACATTCTAAAATTCATGCAGTCACTGTACTTTAAGTCACTTTGGATAAAAGTGTCTTCTAAATGGCATATATTATATTATACCGGTACCCTGTATATAACCTCCCTACTGTTATTTTATTTTACTGCAGCTTTTTAATTATTTGCCATTTAAAAAAAATTCTTAACTGCATTGTTGGTTAAGGGCTTGTAAGTAAGCATTTCACTGTAATGTCTACACCTGTTGTATTCGGGGCACGTGTGGCAAATAAAATTTGATTTGATTTGATTATATATTACTTTAAGTCACGTTGGACAAAGGTGTCTGCTAAATGTTCATAGATTATGTTATTATTAGTGACACATAAACCACACTTGGTTATCCTAGATCCATTGGAATCTGTGGATATTGTTATTGGACTTTGGATACTTTCATATAACTACTGTATATCTCTGTACAGAAATGCCAATAAGAACTGGAGCAGGATTCAGCAACACTTCTTCTTTGGTGCCTTTCATCCTGTTAGAGACTATAGTGTGGAAGTAAGACACTGCAACCATTGTATTGTTGATTGATTGTGTCAATTTGAAGTATCAAATGTTTTTGTAATGTGAATCTTTTAAAATCAATTGATTCATATGACCTAATTGCTTAGTGTCTCTAAAAACGAATGAACTGATTGGTGATTGAGGAGAGACGACGTGTCTAAACTCTCCATTTTCCTCCCTTGTCCCATCCCAGACCATATTCTACACGTTCCCCAGCCTATCAGAGGTGTGTGAGGATGAGTGGATTCTGCCCTGGAAGTTTGAGAAGCTGGTGGACTTCTCCCAGAGTGCATCTCTCCCGTTGAGGAACCCTGTTCCTGACCTGAGCCAGATTCAGCCTGGAGACTGGATCCAGCAGGATAAAGGTACATTCCCCTGAGGGGATAAATAAAGTTGTATTCAATTGATTAGAAATTAATTTAAAAAAGATATCACCACTAGAGGGGAGCAGAGACTTCGTACCCAACAGACAGTGGAGATCACAGCTATTCAACTATTAGTCCAAAGTACTGCTGGTTCTCCCTTCTACCTGGTAGTTAAATGATCAATGAATGAAATTGATTGGCCAGGTCCCTGATTTATAATGAAGGAATGAAAGCCCTCCAGGACCTCAGTTTAAAAGCCCTGTTGTAGATGCCTCAGTGTTTGTGTGTTGTCGTTTGTTAGGTGATCAGGATGGTGAGGAGCGCTGGGCCGAGGTCCAGAAGAAGATGACCCCTTGGAGGTTGGGGATCCAGGAACAGGAGCCAGAGCTGGGTCTGGTGCCCCAGCAGAGAGCAGCACGCCTGGGCAAGCTGCACAGTGCCCTGCTGGTGGTCGCCTCGCTCATAGACAAGCCCACCAACCTGGGAGGTGAGTGTTTTATTTTATTTATAGAGGTAAGTCAATTATGAACAACTTCATATAGGATGACTGTTTTAACCATCATATGCTTATCTCTCTGGGTTCTATGTGTAACGGAGGTGGAACGATGAACCATGTTCACATGATGAGTAACCTTGCTTGAGACCTGAAGACTTGCGTTAGCTCCCCAAGCTAATGCCTAGGCTTGAGCTCAAGGAGCTAACACAGTCATGTGGCGTGCAGGAGGCCCTGGTTTGAACCCAGTCAGTCACATACAGTGGGGGAAAAAAGTATTTAGTCAGCCACCAATTGTGCAAGTTCTCCCACTTAAAAAGATGAGAGAGGCCTGTAATTTTCATCATAGGTACACGTCAACTATGACAGACAAAATGAGGAAAAAAAATCCAGAAAATCACATTGTAGGATTTCTAATGAATTTATTTGCAAATTATGGTGGAAAATAAGTATTTGGTCAATAACAAAAGTTTCTCAATACTTTGTTATATACCCTTTGTTGGCAATGACACAGGTCAAACGTTTTCTGTAAGTCTTCACAAGGTTTTCACACACTGTTGCTGGTATTTTGGCCCATTCCTCCATGCATATCTCCTCTAGAGCAGTGATGTTTTGGGGCTGTCGCTGGGCAACACGGACTTTCAACTCCCTCCAAAGATTTTCTATGGGGTTGAGATCTGGAGACTGGCTAGGCCACTCCAGGACCTTGAAATGCTTCTTACGAAGCCACTCCTTCGTTGCCCGGGCGGTGTGTTTGGGATCATTGTCATGCTGAAAGACCCAGCCACGTTTCATCTTCAATGCCCTTGCTGATGGAAGGAGGTTTTCACTCAAAATCTCACGATACATGGCCCCATTCATTCTTTCCTTTACACAGATCAGTCGTCCCGGTCCCTTTGCAGAAAAACAGCCCCAAAGCATGATGTTTCCACCCCCATGCTTCACAGTAGGTATGGTGTTATTTGGATGCAACTCAGCATTCTTTGTCCTCCAAACACGACGAGTTGAGTTTTTACCAAAAAGTTCTATTTTGGTTTTATCTGACCATATGACATTCTCCCAATCCTCTTCTGGATCATCCAAATGCACTCTAGCAAACTTCAGACGGGCCTGGACATGTACTGGCTTAAGCAGGGGGACACGTCTGGCACTGCAGGATTTGAGTCCCTGGCGGCGTAGTGTGTTACTGATGGTAGGCTTTGTTACTTTGGTCCCAGCTCTCTGCAGGTCATTCACTAGGTCCCCCCGTGTGGTTCTGGGATTTTTGCTCACCGTTCTTGTGATCATTTTGACCCCACGGGGTGAGATCTTGCGTGGAGCCCCAGATCGAGGGAGATTATCAGTGGTCTTGTATGTCTTCCATTTCCTAATAATTGCTCCCTCAGTTGATTTCTTCAAACCAAGCTGCTTACCTATTGCAGATTCAGTCTTCCCAGCCTGGTGCAGGTCTACAATTTTGTTTCTGGTGTCCTTTGACAGCTCTTTGGTCTTGGCCATAGTGGAGTTTGGAGTGTGACTGTTTGAGGTTGTGGACAGGTGTATTTTATACTGATAACAAGTTCAAACAGGTGCCATTAATACAGGTAACGAGTGGAGGACAGAGGAGCCTTGTCTTGTCCAGGCTGTTTAGCCTAGGATACACACTCCCCTGATGTCTTGTCCAGGCTGTTTAGCCTAGGATACACACTCCCCAGATGTCTTGTCCAGGCTGTTTAGCCTAGGATACACACTCCCCTGATGTCTTGTCCAGGCTGTTTAGCCTAGGATACACACTCCCCTGATGTCTTGTCCAGGCTGTTTAGCCTAGGATACACACTCCCCTGATGTCTTGTCCAGGCTGTTTAGCCTAGGATACACACTCCCCAGATGTCTTGTCCAGGCTGTTTAGCCTAGGATACACACTCCCCTGATGTCTTGTCCAGGCTGTTTAGCCTAGGATACACACTCCCCAGATGTCTTGTCCAGGCTGTTTAGCCTAGGATACACGCTCCCCAGATGTCTGGTCTAGGATACACGCTCCCCAGATGTCTGGTCTAGGATACACTCTCCCCAGATGTCTTGTCTAGGATACACTCTCCCCAGATGTCTGGTCTAGGATACTCTCTCCCCAGATGTCTGGTCTAGGATACTCTCTCCCCAGATGTCTGGTCTAGGATACTCTCTCCCCAGATGTCTGGTCTAGGATACACTCTCCCCAGATGTCTGGTCTAGGATACACTCTCCCCAGATGTCTGGTCTAGGATACACTCTCCCCAGATGTCTGGTCTAGGATACTCTCTCCCCAGATGTCTGGTCTAGGATACACACTCCCCTGATGTCTTGTCCAGGCTGTTTAGCCTAGGATACACGCTCCCCAGATGTCTGGTCTAGGATACACTCTCCCCAGATGTCTGGTCTAGGATACACTCTCCCCAGATGTCTGGTCTAGGATACTCCTCTCCCCAGATGTCTGGTCTAGGATACACTCTCCCCAGATGTCTGGTCTAGATACACGCTCCCCAGATGTCTGGTCTAGGATACTCTCTCCCCAGATGTCTTGTCTGGTCTAGGATACACGCTCCCCAGATGTCTTGTCTAGGATACACTCTCCCCAGATGTCTGGTCTAGGATACACGCTCCCCAGATGTCTGGTCTAGGATACACGCTCCCCAGATGTCTTGTCTGGTCTAGGATACACGCTCCCCAGATGTCTGGTCTAGGATACACTCTCCCCAGATGTCTTGTTCTTGTTTTGATAGTTGTGTAATTACTTTTCTTTCTTTAAAAAAATAGAATGTTTCTGTTTATTCCTTTATAATGTAATATATACAGGTAATGTGTATATAACCATTTGTGTCCCACAGAAAGGTTAAAAAGCCACTGGTTGCTGATTGGTCATTTGTTGACACATTTTCCTTTTGTCTCACACGGTCCCTCACTCAGAAACACCTTATGGAAACCTTTACATAGAGAATGATAGAGATTTGTTCAGCTAATTGTTAGGCTATATGTTGCTACCATACTTGTAGATTCATCACACAGAGAATGTTGTATATATTTTTCTATATTAGGAATCAGACTCAATGGTACTGCAAAAAGTGATGGATGTGTCCACATAATTATATAGGTTGATACTGTACATAGAGAGAGGCTACGTCATATACATACAGTAGAGATAATGCTCTGGGAAATCTTTCATTGACCCAATACAACAAATACAATGAAATGAAAATCTAATACAATGAAAATCTAATAAAATGTAAATCAAATATATATATTTATACAAGGTAATATGGTAAAAAAGACTCAGTACTCTGCAGTTTGTCCTCGTAGATATGTGTCTAATTCATCACCTCAATTTCCCATATTAAAGGTCAACTTTAACTGATCAATGCACCATCATACCACCTCATTTAATGCTTTTAAAAAAGCAAAAACGGATGAATACTACATTTGGCTACAGAACTGCCATTTCTGAAATGATGTCAACAAATACTGGAGGAGTAAGCAGCAGACCCTGAAAAGGGGGAGACGTTAATCTGACTTTCACTTATCCCTCTCCGACCATATACGTGTGCAGTGGAATCCGCTGAGGTAAGCTCGTCTTCGTAGTACTAGCTACTAACATTAAGCTATTTACTAACGTTAGATAGGCTAACGTTAGCCAGCGTTGTCTGGATTAGGGGAGGGTTTGGCCGGGGTAGGCCGTCATTTGTAAATAAGAATTTGTTCTTAACTGAATTGCCTAGTTAAATAAAGGTTAAATAATAAATAAAATAATAAAAAGCTAACTTGCTAGCTACAGTGGCTGGATTAGCTAACGAACTAACTACAATAGAAAACCTCTGTCACGCCCTGACTCTGGGGACTCTTATTTGTTGAGTCAGGGTGTGGTTTTCTATGTGGTGTAGATCTATGTTTATAGTCTAGTATGTCTAGATCTATGTTGGCCGGTGTGGTTCCCAATCAGAGGCAGCTGTCGCTCGTTGTCTCTGATTGGGGACCATACTTGGGCAGCCTATTGGCACTAGTGGGTTGTGGGATCTTGTTCCGTGAAAGGTATGTTGTTTGTGTCTACCTTGGACTTCACGTTTCATTTCGTTTATTGTTTTGTCGAGTGTTTATTAAGTTTAAATAAACATGTATGCATATCACGCTGCGCCTTGGTCCGTCCCGTCTATGAACGAACGTGACAGAAGATCCCACCAGACCTGGACCAAGCAGTGTGCCGAGGAGGAGCAGAGAGGATGGACTTGGCAGGAGATAAGAGAGGATCTGGCAAGGAAGATGGAGGCCCTGATCAGGGTGGAGAGGCAACCCCAATAATTTTTTTGGGGGGGCACACAGTGTGGACGACGAGGCAGCAGGAGGCCGCGACAGGGCGGATCTGCTGGTTAGGAGAGGAGGCCACCAGATTACAGGGGCTATTGGTTCAGAGGGAGCAGAAGGAAGGTGTAGAGGCACGGCGAGAGGAGCTGGTTAGGCAGCAGAAGGAGCGGGGGTTAATCAAGGAACCCAGTCCCGCTCCTCGCACCAAGCAAGTGGTGCGTGTCGCCAGTCCGGTCCGGCCCGTTCCTGCTCCCCGCACTAAGCAAGTGGTGCGTGTTCCCAGTATGGCCCGACCTGTTCCTGCTCCTCGCACCAAGCCAGTGGTGCGCGTCGCCAGCCCGGCCCGGCCTGTTTCTGCTCCTCGCACCAAGCCAGTGGTGCGCGTCGCCGGCCCGGCCTGTTCCTGCTCCTCGCACCAGACCATTGGTGTGTTTGTCCAGTCCGGCACGGCCCGTGCCCGTTCCACCGGTGCCTGGTCCGGCACCGGTCAGCTGCTCCACTCCGGAGCCAGAGCAGTCCGCTCCACCGGTGCCTGATCCAGTTCCGGTCAGCTGTTCCACTCTGGAGCCAGAGCAGTCCGCTCCACCGGTGCCTGATCCAGCTCCGGTCAGCTGCTCCAGTCCGGAGCCAGAGCAGTCCGCTCCACCGGTGCCTGATCCAGCTCCGGTCAGCTGCTACACTCCGGAGCCAGAGCAGTCCACTCCACCGGGGG